GGCACCTCTAGTTTCCTTTTTTAAAAAAGTGTTAATGACATGTAGCCATTAATACTTCATACCTTAAAGTATTTCTCATTTGTGTTCTTAATATAATTTTCTCAATCTACATCATGTCTCTATACCCTGACCAAATTTTCTTTGTAAAAATACGTAACTGCTTTTGTGTTAGTAAAGAATCATTGCCTCACTCCCCACTTCCTTACTTTAACTTTGTATATCACTGGGTTTTTTTTTAATTTATTATTTTTTAAAGATTTATTTATGCATACAAGAACTGGGGTACAGGCCAGAGGTGTGGGAGGTGAGAGGACTCATCAGATACAGAGCCGGGAAAGGGAAATGTATAGGCAGACTGAAGTACACTGCTTGAGGGGAGCAGCGGACAAGCCAGGAGAGGTCCGCTGAGCCATGTGGGCAGCTCCCTGGTGTTCGGGGATCGAACTTGTGCTGCAGAGGCTGCGGACAGCTTAACAGTGCTGCGCTTAACCCTCTGCGCCACCAGGGAGGCCCTTAAAGATTTATTTATGCATACAAGAACTGTGGTACAGGCCCAGGTGTGGGGTGAGAGGATTCACCAGAGACAGAGTGACAGAACAGGCAGACTGTACACTGCTGAGGGAAGTAGCAGGTGAGACAGGAGAGGTCTGCGCTGCCATGTGGGTCACCTCCCTGGCCAATCGGGGATCGAACTTGTGCTGCAGTGGCTGTGGACAGCCTCACAGTGTTATGTTTAACTCCTTGTGTCACCAGGGATGCCCCTGTATATCACTGTTTTAGATAAATATGTAAGCTCTCCCAGGGAGAGCTTTCTCGGTCTGTATTATGCCCAGAATCTCAGGTCAAAGCAGGTCATTCTGTCCAGGCTCAGCACACTTGCGTGGCATCGCCGTCAGGAACAGAGTGAGGCTGACTCTGGCTCTGTTCTTGTCCCCAAAGGACGTTTTCTTGGGATAGGGAATTGTGTTCAGGGTTTTCCATGTTTTGCAAGTCGATGACTGTCAGATCCTCACTCCTTTGCACAGAGCATGTATTTTCCTCTGACTGCTTTTTTCTCTTTAGTTCTTTCATATTTCCTGTCAGGTGCTGGGCATCTTGAACCCGTAACTTTATGTCTTTCAGCAAATTGTGGGAAGTTTCAGCTATTTGTTTTTCAAAGATTTTCTTGATCCTTCCTGGGACTCCAGTTACACATGTTTTTACCTCTTAAATCCTGGGGCCTGGGCCTCTGTTTATCCTTCTTTCAAACTTTTCTCTTAGAAAGTGGATGAGTCCTATACTATCTTCAAATTCACTGACTCTCTTTTCATCTCCAATTTACTGTTCCATCTATACAGTGAATGTTTTAGTTCAGAAATTATTTTTCAGTTCTACACTTTCATTTGGGTATATTACCTTGTTCTTCTGAGGTTCCCCTGTTTGAGAGCATGGTTACAACTGTCAGACTGACATCTGTCTCTTAGTTCCCTCGTCTGGGTAGCTCAGCTTGTCTTCATCCACTGTCTTTTCTTCCCCTGAGTGTAGGTTGTGTTTTCCTGTTTCTTTTTTTTTTTTGAAGGTGATTTTATTTTATTTTTTTATTTTTTCCTGTTTCTTACTTTGAAAGATTTTTTTATCCTCTTCTGGACATTGCAAATGGTACTTTGTAAGCATACTGGATTTGCTACAATCTGAAGAGCTTTGGGTTTTTTTGCCTGGAGGGTTGGTTTAGGGCCATTAGCTTGTCTGGGCTAAAGCTCTAGCTCTTGCCTGCCTGCACCCAGTAGGCAGCTGAAGCACATTTCTGTCCTTTGACTTTAGAGGGCCTGTGTGGACTGTGCTGCACGCACATAGCTCTAGGTCGGCCGCAGATTTGGACCGAGTGTACATGCAGAATGTAGTCACCCCACACTCTGCCCTCTGCTTTGCCCTGTGCTCGAGAAAAGCACAGAAAGCCAGACCCTCACCCTGCAGCAGCTACATGCCTCCAGTGCTCCCACTGCCTCCTTGCACCCAGCAGTTGTCTTTTTTTTTTTTTTAAAGATTTATTTATTTATGCATACAAGAGCTGGGGTACAGGCCAGAGATGCGGGGGGTGAGAGGATTCACCAGAGACAGAGTGAGGAACAGAACAGGCAGATTGACCAAAGACACTGCTGAGGGGAGCAGCAGGCAAGTCAGGAGAGGTCTGCTGCACCACGTGGGTAGCTCCCTGTCTGGGGATTGAACTCGTGCTGCAGTGGCTGCAGATAGCTTTATAGGTTGAGTCCTAACTCTTGCGCCACCAGGGAGGCCCACCCAGCAGTTGTCTTTAAATGACATTCGTGGGAGCCCTGATGGGTAGAAAGTCAGATGTCCTGGGAAGTGGACTTCGCCTGCTCCAGAGCCTTCCTGAAAGCTGAGGGCATCCTGGGCCCCCAGAAGGCAGATGAACAACGCTTGCTTCTGCTCCTGGGCTGTTAGGATTGGGCTGCAGGGTACATTCAGGTTTTTATTTGAACTCTGTCTATATTCAGTGCCTGGGGGTACACCCAGGGGTACACTCTCTCATCATTTGAGGGGCTATCAGACTCCCTTCCTGTTTACATCCCACCCTCTGTGGACAAGGCCCATCTCTCAACACTTGTGACAATCTCCTGTTCTTTCCCTTTTAAATCATTAATAGTCATGAGCCAGGCTGCAGGCAGGGTCATGTGGGCGCAGGGCCAGCTTTGGGGCTTCCTGAGGAGATGTAGTAATTGGAAGCCTGTTGGAAAAATATGGTGATGCTTGTTCCGTTGGACCAGCTCTCGATCATGAAACATTCATAAATCACTGTATGGCTGGGAGCACTCCCGTGTCTCTTGGCCTGTGGGCCTGTGCTGGGGAGGCTGAGGGTCTGGTCAGGGAGACCCTGTGGTTGGCCGGTGCTGTGGGACCAGAGCCAAGCCTGGGGGTGCAAGGTCAGTGGGAGCAGTTGCGGCCAGGGTCTTCTGCCTGGGCTTCTTTGCGTTTGCCACCCTGGTCTGGGGAGGTGGCGGACCATTGAATTCTGCCTCCAGGTGGACAGCTAGGCTGTCTAGCAGTCACTGCTGTTGCTTAGATGGCAGGGGGCTCCTCGAACCTCCCAGCGCTGGGTGGACTTGCTCTGTGGCCCGTGGTGACCGTTCACCTCGTGGGCAGGCTTGGGTTCTCTCTGGGGCTGCTGTGGTGACATCTCTGGGTATCTCTTGCTTACAGTCTGGTCTGCCTAGGTTTTGTGGGCCTCAGTGTTCTTCCCAGGTGACCCCAGCTCCAAAATGACCTGGCCCTACCACTGTCCCCTTGCCACGGCATTTTTACTTTAAGCCCCCATTGGGTTGGCAGTCTGAGACTTTCCATCACCAGAGGCCCCTCCCCGGGGGCCCTCAGGTACTCTGTCTACAGCAGGCAGTGGCTCACACATGGCCCTGCAGGGACTGTAGACACGGCAGCCTTTCGGCTCTCTGTGTGCTCATTCTTAAGATGGGGCACCATGGTGAGAGGCAGATGTGTGTATCAGAGTCTGTGGGGAACACTGTCATGCACTTTCTCTCTTGCAGAGAGGAGTTAACCCCAGGGTTGCCTGCCACCCCCGATGGGCCCCATTTGTCCTGTGGGAGGGCAGGCAGGCCTTGGGCATCTCAGGGTGGCCCTAGGGTGATGGGGGCTGACTGGAGGCCAGTAAGAAACACCCAGGTAGGATGGAAAATGGCACTGACCCTCTGGATGACATAGTTCCTAGGCAGCTGAGCCCTTCCTGATCTAGAAACAGGAGCCAGCAGGACACACGGGTGACCATGCTGGTCTGGGTCCCTGAATTGCAGCAGCACAGGGTAAACCATCACCCCATGTCCCACACAAGGATGTGGCTCAGCGTCAGGGACAGACCACTGGGTGTCAGGAGTGGGATTCTTCCCAGCTTTGAACTTTGCAGTTTGTTAAAAGGTGAAACTAGATGACTAAAAAAATTTCCATGCTCAGATATTCTGTGTTGAAATGATTCTTAAAACTTTGTAGTTCGAGGGCCTCCCCGGTAGCGCAGCTGTTGAGCTCTGGGTTGCAAAGCTGCCTGCAGCCTGTGCAGCGCTGGTTCGATCCCCGGCCGCTGGGTGAGGGTCCCACATGGCGCACAGACCTCTCCTGCCATGCCCACTGCTCCCCTCAGCAGTGTATTTCGTCGGTCTGCCTGTTCTGTTCCCCGCTCTGGGTCTGGTGAATTCTCTCACCCTCCTGTGCTTCTGACTGTACCCAGTGCTTGTAAAAATAAATAAATCTTTAAAAAAAAAATTTTGCAGTTCGAGGGGCCTCTCTGGTGGCGCAGGGGGTTAAAGTCTCAGCGCTATCAAGCTATCACCAGCCACTGTGGCTTGAATTCAATTCCGGGCCAGGGAGCTAACCTCATGAGCATCAGACCCTTCCTGTCTCCCCACTGCTCCCCTCGGCAGTGTATTTCAATGGATCTGCTTGTTCTACTCCCCCTGCTGTCTCTGGTGAATCCTCTCACCCCCTGCACCTCTGGCCTGTACCCCAGTTCTTGTATGCATAAATAAATAAAATAAACCTTTAAAATAAAAAACTTCAGTTATAGAAGATGTCAGGTAAAACATGCGCATAGAGGAAACAGTGAGAAGCCTCTTATATCTACTTCAGCACAATTGACCGTAGCTGCCTATTGCATCCCTGTTCCCAGGCCCGGGAGGGTCCTCAGGAAAAACCTGGCATCCCGGTTAGTGTGTGCTGAGACGGCTCTGTTAGCTATAATGTGTATACTGTAAAACTGACTCATTTAAAGTGCACAATTCAGTGGTTTTCAACAACTATCACACCCAGCAGCCACCCATAGGCTGCCCCCAACCCCTGGCGTCAGGAACCCACTGTCTGTCTCTGTGATATACCTGTTCTAGGTATTTCATGCCAGTGGGATCACGCATGGTGTGACCTTTTGTGTCTGGCTTCTGTCTGAAATGATTATTCCTGTTTCAGACAGACAGTTGAATTTCTGACTTTTTTTTTCCTTTTAGGCAAAATACATCTCTCAGTGCATTGATGAAATCAAGCAAGAACTGAAGCAAGACAACATTGCAGTGAAAGCAAATGCTGTCTGCAAGCTGACCTATGTGAGTACCACGAGCACAGCGCTTAGGGCTGGGAGGCCTCTCTGACTGCACCCAGATGCTGGCACCCAGCTAGCCACTCGGCCATTTCTACCCTTCCTTCCACCCGTCCCTCCTTCCATTTGTCCTTCTCGTCATCCATCCTGCTACTTGTCCATCCATCCATCTGCTCATCCACCATCCATTCATCTGTCTATCCACCCACCAGTCAGACATTGGTACCATCTCCCTGGGTGCTGGCTGGGTGGATACATAGGTTTAGGGGGCTCAGGGCGCTCTCAGCTTTCAGAAGGACTGAAGTCCACTTCCTGTGGTGTCCATGGAACTCCTATCAGACTGAGCCTTCTGCAGATGTTCTTTAAAGACAACTATCCCCGGGGGCACAGAAGCCACTGGGGAGCACTGGAAATATTCAAGAGAGAGGAATGCCATGTGGTACAGGGTGGGTGGACCCCTGCCTGTGAGTGACAATCACCATGCCTTTTCAACAGTTACAAATGTTAGGCTACGACATCAGCTGGGCTGCCTTCAACATCATAGAAGTGATGAGCGCTTCCAAGTTCACGTTTAAGGTAAGATGCAATGGGGCTGGGAGGTGGCTGGGGTCTTCTAGAGGACTGGGGGACCCCTGGGCATCCCTGAAGGTCTGTTCTGTGGCCAGAGCCACAATATGTTGGGGGTGGTGTAACCTGCTTGTTCTCACCATGCTGAGGAGTCCTGCCTGCCAGCATGAGCCTGTTAGCTTTCACAAGTGGACTGACTTCAAGTGATTTTCAGATGGTGGATTTAGGTGCAGGACTAATTGCTTGGTTTTAAATTTTTTCTTTTTTAAAACTTCTTAAAAATTGTTTTGACAAGTGAGGGAAATGTGGGAATTATAAAGAATAGTGAGGTGTTAGCGAGACTCTATAATCCTGTCATTCAGAAATCATTGGTAACTTTGGTTCTGATTCTTTTAATTTTTTTTTTTTTTTTAATGTTACAAATTATAATTTACTGCAAGGCATTTTTTTGTTTGGTCAAATACTTCAAGGTTCATTAAAGGAATTTTGAAATGGGGTCTCCCCGGTGGCACAGCAGGTTAAGCGCAGAGCTGTGAAGCTGTCCGCAGCCTCTGCAGCACAGGTTCCATTCCCAGCCAGCCAGGGAGATACCCACATGGTGTGGCAGACCCCTCCTGTCTTGCCCGCTGCTCCCCTCAGCAGTGCTTTCGGTTGTCTCCCTGTTCTGCTCTCTGCTGTGTCTCTAGGGAATTCTCTCACCCTCCTGCGTCTCTGGCCTGTACCTCAGCTCTTGAATAAATAAATAAATCTTTAAAAAAAAAGGAATTTTGAAATGCAAAAAACACACACGAAAAGAAATAACTGACAAAAAATAGTGGTAACCTAATTTTTCTAGTCAAACTTTAACCATAAATATCACCTCCATGGTTTTTGCCAAATTACTTGTTAACACTATTTACATAGTATTTTTCTTTCAGTTTTATTTTATTTATTTCCTTTCTTTTTCCTGATGTCTTTTTAGAGCCTAATTAATGATTTCAAAGGAAACTGTTAGAAATGGCCTAGGTCTTTAAAAAAAAAAAATCCATTTCTAGCTTGTAAAATTAGGAGATCTATTCAAATGCATACTGACAAATAACCCCCCCCCTTTTTTTTTAATTCACAGAGCTCTATTTTAGATGCCTTTAGGCAACCAATTGAAAAAGTATTAAATACAGTTTACTCAGAGTTTGCCCTCCACCACAGCCCCTTCTAACCCCGCTGTTCTCTCCTCCCTGTCTTCCCTCCCCACCTCAGATAGTTTGAAGTCAGGTACCGTGACGCCTTTATTGCTCTCCTTTTTCCTTACGATTGCTTACTGGTTTTGGTGAACAGTCATTTTGGTTATTTTGATTCTCCGCAGCCCCGAGCATGAGATACCTTTTCATCTCCTTATGTCATGGTCTAAATCCTTTAATAACATCTTGTAGTTTTCATCATATAAGTTCCTAACCTTCTCGGTTAAGTGAATCCCTAGGTATTTAATTCTTTTCATGTTATGAATGAAATTATTTTCTTAATTTCTTTTTCTTCTTGTTTATTGTTTGTATATAAAAATGCAAAAAAATCCATTGGTTTTGTAATATGCCACTTTGCTATCTTCATCTATTGTTTTCAAAAGCTTTCTGCTGGGGTCTTTAAGGTTTTGTATATATAGTATCATCTGCAAGGAATGATAGTTTTACTTCTTTTCCAACCTGGATCCCGTTTGTTTCCAGTTGTCTAATTGCCTGGCTAATAAGTAAGCAAAAATGGATGACAGTGACACCCCTTGTCTTGTTCCTGATCTTAAAGGGAAAGCTTTCAGTTTTTCACCATCAAGTATTTTATTGGTTGTAGGTTTGTGATATGGCCTTGGACTCTGTCTGTTCTGTTACTTCTCTTTAGTTTATCCCAAAGAGCTCTCGCACCATTTTCTTCTTAATTCTTTTTTTCTTTGTTGTTTTATTTGTGTGTTCACCACCACTGAGCTTTCATACTCACTAATTCTCTCCATTATTTGCATTTGTCTACTGTCAAGGCCCTCTACTGTATTTTTTAATTAGGTTATAGTGGGTTTTGTTGTTTGTTTTTTTAGATTCATTAGTTCTAATTGTAGCAGTCATATTTTCTATCTTTGTTATGTTTCTGTTTAACATCATCCTTGTTTTACTGAATTCGTTAAGTATGATTTGTAAGTGTTACCTTAAACTCTTCTTGATAGATTCTGCAGTTTGCTGAATTGACACTCTTGGGGCTTTTTTGCTCAGACATTTGAGATATGTTCTTTTGTCTGTTCAGTTTTAGTTTTTATGAGTTGTAAATAGGGAATATCCTTTTCTTAATAAATTAGTTTCATTCCGCTTCTGTTAAAATCAGGGTGTAATCATCAGTTTTATAGTACTATCTTTAGGTATCTATTTCACAACTGCCTCTGCTTCTATTCAGACAGCGGGGGTGCTGGTGCTGGTGCTGGTAGGACGGAGCTGGGTGGGTAGACATTGAAAGAGCACTTGCAGCAAGCATCACGGTGCAAGCTCCCCACTGTGCTTCAGGTACTGGAGTTGTCTGTTGAGGATCCACAGTGACCCTCTTCCCCAACTCTGGCCAAAATGTCTTACATACTCTCATGCCAGCCTTAGCTTCTAAGCTGTAGTTGGACCCTAGATATAGGTCTAGGTGATGACTATAGTTGATTGTTTGTTTATACATGCACTGGGTACTGTCAGAGGCGCCGGAGGGTGAGAGAATTCACCAGGGTCAGAGCGGGGAGCAGAGCAGGCAGAGGGACCGAGGTACACTGCTGGGGGGAGCAGCGGGCGGCAGGGGAGGTCTGCGCGCCATGTGGGGGCCCTCCTCTGGTGGCCAGGGAGCAGCCGGGGATCGAACCGGCGCTGCAGCCACGGGCAGCTTCGCAACCCAGCACTCAACTGCTGCGCCACCTGGGAGGCCCCCATGATGGCTATAGTTGAGACAGGCCACAAGCCTGGAGTTGTTCTCTGTTTTTGGCTGGGGCAAGGGAAGTACAGCAGGTGTTTCAAATATGATGACCTCAGGCTGCAAGTGATAGTGAGGACACAAAGGTAATCCAGCTTGGCTCTCCCCTCAGGCTCCACCTGTTCAGATTGAAAATCTCAGGTTGAAGCCACACCCTCACTCTAGTTCCCCAGTAGAGCACCCTCTGTTCTGTATGCCAACTCTCTGCACCCCCTTCTCCAGGGCAGTACCAGGTCTCCAACCTTTCCAACCTCTGGTGTAGGCATGTGCCCCCTTGAGCTGACATCCACAGGGAGCTGTCTGCAGCAGCTGCCCTCCCCCCTCACGGCTCTGCAGTCCTGGGACTACTCCAGATACTGCCCTTTTCTGCTCTGTAGTCCTCTGTTGCCATTCAGGGGTTGTTGCCTTTATTTTGTGGTAATTTAATTTAGTTGCAAACATATAGAGGAAGTGGCATCTTCACTCTGCCATAATTTTTGGCATACCAGATCTTTCTTTCAACTGTATCTAATATCAGTGAAATTGTGGTTTACAGACCTGGCTATGTATATTGTTAATCAAGTTAAAATAAATTTGGGGCCTCCCTGGTGGCGCAAGGGGTTAAGACACAAGCTATGAAGTCATCCGCAGCCACTGTAGCATGAGTTCAATCCCCGGCTGGGGATCTACCCACATGGCGGACTCACCCGCTGCTCCCCTCAGCAGTGTATTTATTTCAGTCCATCTGCCTTTTCTGTTCCCCACACTCTCTGGTGAAGCCTCTCACCCCCCACACCTCTGGCCTGTACCCCAGTTCTTGTGTGCATAAATAAGTAAACCTTGGGCCTCCCTGGTGGCACAGTGGTTGAGCGCTGGGCTGCGAAGCTCTCCGCAGCCTCTGCAGCACCGGTTCGATCCCCGGCTGTTGGCGAGGGTCCCACATGGCGCTCAGACCTCTCCTGCCATACCCACTGCTCCCCTCAGCAGTGTGCTTCGGTCCTTCTGCCTGTTCTGCTCCCTGCTCTGGCTCTGGTGAATTCTCTTACCCTCCCACGCTTCTGACTATACTCAGTGCTTGTATAAATAAATAAATAAATCTTTATGTATCTTTTTTTTTGACCAATTGTATTACTTTTTATTTTATTTTTTATTTTTATTTATTTATACAAGCACTGGGTACAGTCAGAAGTGCGGGAGGGTGAGAGAATTCACCAGAGCCAGAGCAGGCAGAAGGACCGAAGTACACTGCTGAGGGGAGCAGCGGGCAGCAGGAGAGGTCTGCGCGCCATGTGGGACCCTCCTCTGGTGGCCGGGGAGCAGCCGGGGATCGAACCGGTGCTGCAGAGGCTGCGGGCAGCTTCACAACCCAGCGCTCAACTGCAGCGCCACCGGGGAGGCCAATAAATAAATCTTTAAAAAAAAAAAAAGGAAAGAAAACCAGAGCTGGGCCTCCCTGGTGGCGCAAGGGGTTAAGCACCACACTATGAAGCAATCCACAGCCTCTGCAGCACAAGTTCGATCCCCGGCCAGCCAGGGAACAACCCACATGGTGTGGCAGACCTCTCCTACTATGCCCGCTGCTCCCCTCAGCAGTATATTCAGACAGTCTGCCTGCTCTGCTCCCCACTCTGTCTCTGGTGAATCCTCTCACCCCCGCCCCGTCCCGCCCGCATCTCTGGCCTGTATCCCAGCTCTTGTATGCATTAATAAATACATCTTTAAAAAAAGAAAAGAAAACCAGAGCTGATGATGACTTACTGTGTCTCCCTGGCTGCCAGCAAAGTCACACGTTAGTAAACGGGCTCAATAGATTTGTCAAATCTTAGAAGATTGTTGTATTTCAGAGACCCACACTGCGAGCCCTGGGGGATTCCCTCCTGCAGTTTTAAAGAAGCTGGTATGGCTCCTGAATGACCTGGGGGTAGGGGCCTCAGGGCCTCTTCATGAGCGGTCCCCATCTCACCACCGACACCTTCCTCTGTTCGGCTCCACAGCGGATCGGCTACCTCGCTGCTTCCCAGTGTTTTCACGAGGGAACTGATGTCATCATGCTGACCACGAACCAGATCCGCAAGGTTGGTGCCCTCCCTCGGCTGAGCACCTCTGTCTGTGCCAGAATGTCTGTCTGTGCCAGTGTCTGTCATTCGCGTGTGGGAGTTAGCAGCGCTGAAGGTGGCAGGAACTCTGTCCCTGAGGCCCTCCACCAGCGAACTGTCTTCTGCCTGTCGCTGCAGGCCTCAGAATCCACCGAGAGGGGAGTCTGGGAAATACCATCCACCTCCCCTTCTCTTCTCCTTCCCGCTTCATAGTTGGAGGACCAGCTTTGCCCGTCCCTCTTCTTAGCCCCTCTCCCAGCTGGCAGAGAACCTGCTGAGGCGATATGCCTTCCTGGCCAGGGACTTGTGAGGCAAACCCTGTGCCTGTTTTCAACCACATGTATTTTTTCATGTTTTAAAGCGGGTTTTGGTGACCACTGGGTTCCTCTTTGGCCCAGAACTTTGAACGTCTTTTTTGCCATGTTTCACATGGAGACCCAGCCACCCCTTCCAGTCTCCTGACACATTAGGGGCTTGGTGGCCCCAGGACTCACAGATGCCCTGTACAGATGCTGAAGCCCCATGAGAGTGGGTGCCCCCAGGGGATAACCTGGTAGTGGGCTGGGCTCCTGGGCCAAACTCCATGGAGCAGGCAGACACTGCAGGCACTGGCCAGTGTGTGGGTCTGAGGCTCCAAGCCCACCACACTCATATTTCTGAGAAGACTGACTCACAGCTGAGGCTTGGGGAGGCTCCTCCTCAGCCAGGTCATGCAGCAGCCCAGGTGTTGTAGATGCCACAAGGCTTTGAAGGGGAACTTAGTTGGGAGCAGCTGGTGGATGGCACCCAGTGGGACTGGACCTTGGAGAGGAAGGAGAGGTGGGAGGCCAGGGGGAGAACTCTGAGTGGCAGGAGGGAGGGTGGAAAGGCCCTGGCTGCTTGGGTAGCTGACATGAGCCAGTCCTCCTTTGCTTCCTGCTCCCATTGAGATCTGTGCAAGCGGCTCATGTAGCTTTGCTCTGTTGGGGATGTGCCCAACCCTGGGATGCCCTCTTTGCTGTCACAGTAAGGTCTAGACAGGTGACTAGAACTGCCTGCCGTTGCTCCCTCCTTGGCCTGTTTCCCTCTTCGGCACAGGGGGCCTGTTTTCGTACAGCCACAGACTGCTGCCACTAGCTCTCTGCTTCATTCATTTTCAACAAGCCTGTGACTCTGAAACACCATGGCCCAGGCCTGGCTAGGGCTCTCACTGCCCAACCATCATCTGAGTGTCCTCCTTGCAGACCTCCGTCCTTAAAAAGCCCCATAGCACACCGAACCGGAAGTCAGCTGTTCAGGGGCATGTTCTGTGCAGTGCGTTCTGATGGACTTTACCTAGCCTGGGCCGCAGTGGAATTTTAAAAGCCAGCATTTCATCATTACCACAATCTGGAAAGTTGACTCTAGTTTATTCTTTACTCCATAACATATAGGGAGTTTGGGGAACTTCTTAGGAAAGTCCCTAGAATACAGTTGACACGCAGTGTTTTCCTAAGTGTTAAAACAGGGCTCTGGGACCTCCCTGGTGGTGCAGGGGTTAAAGTCTCAGCACTTTCAAGCTGTTGGCAGCCACTGCAGCATGAGTTCGATCCCCGGCCAGGATGCTGACCCACATGGTGCAGCAGACCTCTCCTGTCTCACCCGCTGTTCCCCTCAGCAGTGTATTTCAGCAGATCTACCTGTTCTGATCCCTACTGTGTCTCTGGTGAATCCTCTCAAATTCCCCCCTATACTTCTGGCCTACCCCTAGACTCTTGTATGCATAAATAAAATCTTTAAAAAATAATAAAATAAAACAGGACTCTAGGCAGTTACAGTGGGCACTGCCAAAGTTGGGTCACAGGTGGGTGACTTCAGAGATTGGGGTATGTGGATTTCTGCTTGCTCAGGGACACCTTCTGTTTGCCTGAAAGATGAAGTCAAGCTGATGCTTTTTTCCACTTTTGGGACGATCCTGGAGGAGTTGTCCCCAGCTATTGTAGGGGAGACACCCAGTGAAGCAGAGGTTCTCAGATTCCACTTTGGAGGACTGCCCCATGTGTGCCTATTAGATGGGGTTCTCAAGCAGGGAGCTACCGCTGGAGCTGGTGACTGATACTAGCCTAACCCCCCAGCACCGGGAACCGGACTGTGCCGCAGGGTCTCCCCTAGACCTGTCCAACTCCCCTCTGAGTGGCAGCATGGCCCTGGCTACTTGTTACTCGTCATCCAAGTCCAGTTCCAGGCCTCAGTGCAGGGCCAGTGGGGACATGCTAGGGCCAGGCCATGCTGAGTCAGCACAACCCCTGCCCTGCCCCCACCCTGCTAACCCTCTCATCCCTTTCCAGGACCTGAGCAGCCCCAGCCAGTACGACACCGGCGTTGCACTGACTGGCCTGTCCTGTTTTGTTACCCCAGATCTAGCCAGGGACTTGGCCAACGACATCATGACACTGGTGAGTTGGAGAGTGTGCCAGCACCCCTCAGTCTTTGCTCTCTCACATGATTTGGGCCAGACAGGTATTTGGAAAGCGAAGGCTGAAACATCACACCAAGGTCATTTGGCCCTGAGAAGCAGACCAGGGTCCCGGATAAGGTGGAAAACCAAATCCCTGTCTCTCCTTCATCACCTGTGGGGCCTGGCCTCGGGCCACTGTCATTCTGCTTTCAGATCTAACCTTTGAGGCAGTCGTGCAGGGGTTAGCTCTGCATGAGGTGTTTGCGCGGTCGCTGTCTTGCTGAAGTGTAGGTGAGGGGGCATCTCAACCGGCAGCAAGCCGTCAGGGCGACCCTTTCCTTTCTCCATCTCTGGTGCCGTTAATTTTCATGTGGCCACAGCACAACTCCTGGCTAAGTCTATACAAAAGGCAAATCCCCCTGTTCCTGGTGTCAAAGGTGTCCAGAATCTTGTTCCTTAACAAGCCATCCTCTTACAAATTGTGGCCCAGGGCCACTGCAGTGAGCCTCCAGCTAGTGGGGGACTTTGGAATGGTCTGGCCAGCCTGTGTGCTGTGCGTGTGATCAGGCGCCAGCGTGTGTCTCCAAGACTCACGAGACCCAGTCAGCTTCCAGAGCAGGCCCACTGGCTGTCCTTGTAAATGGTCGTATCAACTCACAGCCCGACACTCACTCACGTGGTATCCATGGTGGCTTCTGCGCAGTCAGGACCTGCAAAGCTGATAGTAGAGCCCTGGGGCACTTCCTGAGTGGGTGCCGTGGCCTTGGTGAAAGCATTGAGTTGCTTGTGGGGCACGTTCGCGCTGGGTCACAGGGTAGGGTAGCTTTCTCAGCACAGCTCCCTGGGCCCTGGCAGGTAAGGAGTGTGCCCACCTGGCGAGCGGCATTCCTGGCCAGAGTATAGTCCCTGGGAGGGGCAGGAGCTCAGAGCAGCACCATGTGGAGCTGTGCGGGGACCAAGGCCCTCAGAGTCCTGCTGTGGGGCCGGGCCTCAGGGCCAGGAGCCTGAGCCCAGTGTTGATGTGAGAGCCCCCTTCCCGCGTGGCCCTCTTAGGCCCCCTCCCCTCACTCCTCAGTGGGCCCAGGTGAGCTCAGGAGAAGGGTCTCAGCCTGTGAGGGCAGGCCTAGGGATCCATTTCGTCCAGGCACCATGTGGTCCCTGTGCTTGGCGGGGCTCAAAGTCTAGAAGCCAGATGAATTGGAGAGGGGTTTCCTCCAGGTGGGGGAGGTGAGACACGGAGGTGCAGGAGGTGAGGGGCAGGTGCAGAATGCAGTGGCAGCACAGGGAACTGTCACCTCTACTCCTGCAGATGTCACACACCAAGCCGTACATCCGGAAGAAGGCTGTGCTGATCATGTACAAGGTCTTCCTGAAGTACCCCGAATCACTGCGCCCTGCCTTTCCCCGCCTGAAGGAAAAGCTTGAGGACCCCGATCCTGGTTGGTTTAAGTAGAGTTAAGACGGGGCGTCCCCAGCACGTCTCCAGAGGCCTTGGTGCGGGTGTTGTCAGGAATGAGTAAGGGGACACTGGGTCCTGGGATGGCCCCAGACCTGGCCCTTGGCCCCCTTGGGGAGTCCCTGTGCAGTCTGACACACCCCCTGTTTTTGAGCACCCTTGATTGTGGCCCCCCCAGCTGCGGGTTCCCCTGCCATCCCCGGCCCGGCCTGGGAACTGCCCTCCTCCTGCAGCCCTGTTTATCAGTGTGGGGTTTAGGAACCAAGGCCTGGGCATGGGTTGTGCCTCCTCGAGGCCCGCTGGGCAGATGCCCACACCACACGCTGGGGCACCTGACTCCCTCTGGCTGGCTGTGTCAGAGTCATGTTCCCACGTCTCAGCCTGGTCCGCACCTCAGCTTGTTCGGCCTCCTGCCATCCTCTGTCCCTTTCCAGCAGGGACCCCGGCTAAGACTGTCAAATAACTGTGGGTCCGGGTCAGGTTTGTCCGGGGATCGGCTGTGTGTCAGGAGATGTCAGGTGCAGAAGGTCCTAGTTGGGGAAGCAGGAGCAAAGCGGTAGGTGTGGCAGGTGTGCCCGACCAGAGCACGGGGGTACCAGCTCAGGGGGACCCTCTGCACTTGGGTCTCTCTGTCCCGCCGCAGCCCTCTTCTCCAGGAAGTGCTGCCTGTGGGGGCAGCCCCCAAAGCGGTTGGGGTCTGAGCTGTGCCCACTGGAGATGGGCTGAGGAGGATGCCCCGCCGGTGAAGGGGACATCCCTCGTTGAGGATGCCTCCCTTACTTCACAGGGGTCCAGTCAGCAGCAGTCAACGTCATCTGTGAGCTGGCCAGACGCAACCCTAAAAACTACCTTTCCCTCGCCCCACTGTTTTTCAAGTTGATGACCTCTTCCACAAACAATTGGGTCCTCATTAAAATCATCAAACTGGCGAGTATCCTCCCCACCCTGTGGAGGAGCCCCTGCACGTGTCCTTGAGAGGCCCGGGGTAAGGGTTGGAGTCGCGTGGGCGGGAAGCCTCCACAGTGTGGTGGGGTGCGCTTCTCGAGGTCACAGACAAGGACCCACACGGGCCTGTTCCTGCTGTGAGTGACCCTGGCTTTTCCCTCCTAGTTTGGTGCTCTGACCCCCTTGGAACCAAGGTTGGGCAAGAAGCTAATCGAACCTCTCACCAACCTGATCCACAGGTAGACCCTGGACTCCCTGTCTTCAGGGTGACTGGCATGGGAGGGTTGGGCTGTGAGGAGAGTCTCAGAGAAGTAGACACATGAATTCCCCGTGTGTGATTTTCTCCAAATGATCTGTGCCTTTGGGGCCAGCCCCCCTAGAAAACCCGGTGGCTTTTCTCCCTTTAATTCAGATTTTGAAAGAGCAAATGGTAAAAATAATCCAAAGGAAGAGAGGCACCCTGCTTAACCCTGCCTGCTCATAGCTAAACCTCAGCGGTCTGAAGAGCTTCAGATGACTATGTCCCTTGTCAATTCTAGAATGTTCTAAAGAGTTCCCATGCCACTTAGGATGCCTGTGGTTGAATTGTGGGTTGGCACAGGAGCTCTTGCTCCAGGAAGCCAGGTTGGCAGTCAGGGGGTCAGGAGGAACAAGGCCGGATCAGGTATTGTGCTGCTTGCTCCGCTGTGTGCAGCCTCCCTCCCTCTGGGGTTGTTCCCAGGCTGGTAAATGGATCAGAAGTTAGGGCATCACTGGATAAAACCCATGTCTGGGCTTGGCAAGGTCTGGTTTTAAATAATCAGTTGTCCAGTTTGCGACATACAGAGATTTTCAGACTCTAAGGCCAGGATCGATGGACGAGCAGCTTCCTCACCCTAGAGCTTAGGTGGCTAGGCTCCACGGTGGCACCTGTGAGAATAGCAGTGCAGTGGACACATCGAGTGCCCCCACCCTCCTTGGCCACTGCCCTGGGCAGTGCTCATCACACACCCAAGGTGACACCTGGGCCATGGGCATTATGCTCTGTGTGTTGTGGCCACGTCCAACTGTCCCTTGGGCTCCCCAGTCAGCATAGAGCCAGGTAGGGGTCGAACCCCTTCTGTGCTCCCAGAGCAGTTAGAATGTAGCCTTTGTTCATGGGTGTTTCAGAACTGAAAGTTCAGGAGCGCAGACCCCTATCATGGGAACCTTGCAGGTGGTCTTGGCTGTTGGTGAGCAACAGGGGTACGCCTCTGTTCTTGGGGTCATCTAATGACCCTGGTGAGAGAGACGGTGGGCTGGCCTGAGAGGGCACGGGTGCGGGAGGGCTGGGCTGAACCCCAGGGCCCTCGATGAGTGTGTCCTCATCGGCTCCTCCCCACCTTCACCTCGCGCCGTTCTTCCTCCAGCACATCTGCCATGTCCCTGCTCTACGAATGTGTGAACACCGTGATCGCAGGTGAGTTCCCACGGAGGGGCTGGGGACTGGGTGGGGGTGGGAGGGGCTGCGACTGGCCAGTCCCGGGCCGTGCCTGAGTGGTATCAGGACTCCTGGAGTTGGGGTTCTTGTCTCTGCCTGCACCTGAAACCTCCCGTCTAGAGCCCCTTGGAGGTGTGAAGAGCTCAGTGGTCCTCTGCAGCAGCAGCTACCACCTGTCCCCGGGTTCAGTAGTGACATCTCTTATCCAGCCCTTCCACCATACCTGCCAGTAGGACCTTGTTTCTTCTAAAACAAATCTCAAAATATGAAAATAAAGAAAGCAAATCTCAGGCACCATGTGCAATTTCCCCTGTAGAGACTTAGGGTAGGGATCTGTAACACAGCAATTTTGGGGCAGGATCGCATGCCCTCTTGGCCGCCCTGGGGCTCCTTAGGTCTCCATTTGAATGAGCCAGGCCACCTGGAGTGGCCAGCAGTGTTGATCTGCTGGCTCCCCAGTCATTGCTGCCGTCCCAGCGGCCGTCTCCTAGTTTATGGCCGTGTCATTCTGGGCCTGGTTTCCCAAACAGGCTGCTGGAGCTGGCGGCTCCGGGGCTGCAACTTTTGGTCACCTCTGTCTGCCTGAAGCTGCAGGGAAACCAGCCTTATGGCCCTTCCTTGCCTTGCACCACTTTCAGCTCAGGCGACCCTGACTTCTTTGCCACCATCGTACACCTGTGTCACATCCCCTGTCCCTGAGGTTCCCATCTCCCTGGATGGCCTCTCTCCCTGAACCTCCCTTCCTGGGAGGCAGGCCCTGGCCCAGGCTCTGCATGAGCTGGGCATGTCCCCAGGCCTCAGCGACAGTAGCTGGGAGGATAAGGGCAGGCAGGCAGTAGGTGTTCAGGCAGGGAAGAGGCTGGGAGAATGGGGACTAATGGGGTGAACGAGAGCCCTTTCGCTAGCCATGGGTAGAAGAATTGGGGTTACAGAGAGGGGTGGTCCTGGGTGAACTGTATCTGGGTTGATGGTGTTGAGCACCAGCTGGGTTGTGCTCTTGGGCTTCAGTCTGTTCTCTTGGCCACAGAGACCCAACCGCCGACCAGGCAGTGGTCACATGGTCACCTCCACCCATGTCAGCCCAAGACCCCAGACTGGAGAGCAGCACTCTCAGGAGTCACATGTTCGCATACACACTTCAGGGCCAGGGAGCCCATCTGTGAGGTGGAGGGAACCCCCAAAGTCCAATTCTCAGATGCCACCTCCTAAGCTGGCCTTGCCCAGGAGAGGCGTCAGGCCACTAGGCCGGCCCTTCCCTGCATAGACAGCAGTGGGGCCGCGCAGTTCTCCTCAGGTTATTTTCCGTGGACAAGTCAGCATGGTGAATTACTGACAGAGCTTATCTGTTTCAGTTCTCATCTCTCTGTCCTCCGGCATGCCTAACCACAGTGCCAGCATCCAGGTACGTCCTGGAATCAGTCACAAAGGCGCTCAGGGCTTCTTCTGCCTCCGGTGTCCCCTTCCTGAAAGCCCCACGCTCGGGAGGGAGCAGCCCACCCCTACATGAAGGTCACGTGGGGTGGACGAGTGAGGGACGGAAGGGTGGGCACACCCACTTGCCAGGGCTATGGCTTCTGCTTGTTCTCTGATGACAGCTCGGTTCTGCCTTGCACCAGTTTGAGCTCAGGCGACCCTGACTTCTTTGTCACCATCTTGGCACCTGTGTCACATCCCCTGTCTCTGAGGTTCCCATCTCCCTGAATGGCCTCTCTCCCTGAACCCCCCTAAAATCTTTGCCCACCCATTACCACAGAGCCTCAGGGATCCCTGGAGTGGACTGGAGACCATTGGGAGGACCACTTTTTGTTTTGGGGGTTCAAGTTTATTCTGATGACATAACATGTAGCTCAGTCCCTGGATCCCAGTCTTCCCCAGGGGCCACCTTCAAGCCATCCTGTTGTGTAGTCACTTTTTGGCAACTTGGAAGCCACCAGTGTGTGCACAAGTGTTTCTGGAATGTCCATGTGCATGCCTGCTGTGCCTTCTGCACGTGGGCGCTCCCGTCCCTGCTTCCTGGGCCCTTAGGGCTCAGGCCAGATACACCATTGGGATAGGAGACGTGACCAGCATCTTCTCTTTGCAGCTCTGTGTTCAGAAGTTACGGATATTGATAGAAGACTCCGATCAGAACTGTGAGTGGCCCCACCCCCTGCACCTTAGTTTCTGTGGGAGTAGGGCTTTCCTGAGAGAAGGCAGAACCTGTGACATGACTCTTCCGTGGAGACAGCATCAACAGGCCAGCACCCAGCCTTCAGATGTGTTGAGAGAACCAGCCTTTGTCCATGCAGTTGCTGCCCCTGCACCCACTCCCGTCTACAGGGGTGGTGGGACCTGCATGAGGCCCCTTAGAGGCCTGGCTCCAGGGAGGAGTCACAAGAGGGGCTGAGAGCACAATGGTGTGAGAAGGTAGCCATGCTGCCGCCTGCTCCAGCGTACCTCAAGATGTGTCATCTCTAGAGCCGTTGGTGTTCCCACGGGATTTGTGGGTGTGCTTGTGGTTAACCAGATATGCTAGCTCAGGCTGTCCTGGTCCTCCCCTGGGGAACACAGAGGAGCCTCCCCCACTTTGCCATGTACCTGGCTTGTTCCTTTTTAGATATGTTGTCAAGGAGTCCTACCAGTACCACTCCCTGGTGCCTGGGCTTTTGATGACCCTGGGGAGTTGGGGGATCATTTTGAGCCCAGGTCTGTCTCTTTAGAGGAGGGTCAGCAAGCCTCCTGGAAAGGGCCAGACAGTAACTATTTCCAGTTTTGCGGGCTTCATGGTTCCCGCTGTTGAAGAGAACCCCCACGGGACATGGCCGTGTACCAGTAAATCTTCACTTACAGAAACAGGCTTCACCCTAGATGGGACCTGTGGCTGCGTCTACCACCCCTAGCTGAGACAGGGTGTGGGGTTGGTCAGGGCACATGGGGCATCTGGGATGCATGAAGTCCTTGCCTGGCCTGGGGCTTTGCTACCACTTGCTCTGCCTTCCAAGACACCTTGGGGCCAGCCAAGGGCATAGTCCCAGGCACCTGTTTTGTCCAGACCAACTGGGCAGCCAATGTGCCCCCTAACAGAACACCTCTAAAAAGGGAAGATGGGGCCTCCCCTGGTGGCGCAGGCAGTTGAGCGCCACGCTGTGAAGCTGTCTACAGCCTCTGCAGCACCGGTTCAATCCTGGCCAGCCGGCAAGGGTCCCACATGGCGTGGCAGACCTCTCCTGTCGCACCCGCTGCTCTCCTCAGTGGTGTATTTCATCAGTCTGCCTGTTCTGCTCCCCGCTCTGTCTCTGGTGAATCCTCTCACCCTCCCGTGCCTCTGGACTGTACCCCAGTTCTTGTATAAATAAATAAATATTTTTTAAAAATTATTAAAAGGGAAGATGGCATGTACACGGCAAGATAGGGGAGGCTGCGCTGCACGCCAGCCCCAAAAGCCCATGGCTTAACCATGTTTCCTCATCCCCACAGTGAAGTACCTAGGTCTGTTGGCCATGTCCAAGATCCTGAGGACGCACCCCAAGTCCGTGCAGGCCCACAAGGATCTGGTCCTGCAGTGTCTGGATGACAAGGATGAGTCCATCCGGCTGAGGGCCCTCGACCTCCTGTATGGGATGGTGTGTGCCTCTCCTTGAGTCCTGCCCAGCCCTCCCCCAGCCTCTGCAGGTTGGGTGGTCCCCCTTCCTCACCAGCCCCCTTTCCAGGTGTCCAAGAAGAACCTGATGGAAATTGTCAAGAAGCTGATGACCCACGTGGATAAGGCTGAGGGCACCACATATCGAGACGAGCTGCTCACCAAGATCATCGACATCTGTAGCCAGTCCAACTACCAGCACATCACCAACTTTGAGTGGTGCGTCCCCCGCAGCCAGGGGTGCCCAGCGGTGCTTGGACACAGCTCAACACTCCCGCTGCCCCCCACAGGTATATCAGCATCCTCGTGGAGCTGACCCGGCTGGAGGGCACCCGCCACGGCCACCTCATCGCTGCGCAGATGCTGGACGTGGCCATCCGCGTGAAGGCCATCCGCAGGTTCGCCGTGTCGCAGATGTCCGCGCTGCTCGACAGTGCCCACCTGGTGACCAGCAGCACCCAGCGCAATGGCATCTGTGAAGTGCTGTATGCGGCCGCCTGGATTTGTGGGGAGTTTTCAGAGTGAGTGGGCCCTCTGGGGGTAAAGCGGAGTTCCCCCTTGAGTGGGTACCCCAGGATTCCTAGGGGGTGGATGCTGAACAGGTGCCCTGGAGGAGATCCCCATAGATCCTCCCTCTCAGTCTCGGTCTCCTGGTGATGCCCAGCTCCCTGCCAGCGCCCTGGCTCTAGACTGTAGTATCTCTGACACTTTCTGGTTGGAGGGATGTTTCTTTGACCTTAAAATTTTGTCATAAGGACTAATCAAAAGCCAGTAGTAGCGCACCTCAGGACCCAGTCCTCACAGATGCTGGGCTTTCTCGGGTTCCCAGCAACCCTCCCTCACGGTAATTGCAGGCTCTCCCAGCCAAATACCTGGCACGGTGTCCTTTTTTCTGTTGACCTTTCTTCATTTAGCTGCTCTAATGGTCACGCCGCTGCCATTGTGGGGCCGGGCACGTTCTCACAGAACCCCCATAGCAGAGCGCCCGACCCTGCTCTCCACCCTGCCAGCCGTGAGGCAGGGCTGGGGCGGGTGCAGGCATGCTCACAGGCCTCCGCTGTCCCCAGGCACCTGCAGGAGCCCCACCAGACCCTCGAGGCCATGCTGCGGCCCAAAGTCACCACGCTGCCTGGCCACATCCAGGCTGTGTACGTGCAGAATGTGGTCAAGCTGTACGCGTCGATCCTGCAGCAGAAGGAGCAGGCTGCCGAGGTGGAAGCGGCCCAGGAGGTCACCCAGCTCATGGTGGAGCGGCTGCCCCAGTTCGTGCAGAGTGCAGACCTGGAGGTCCAGGAGCGGGTGAGGGCTGCCTGGGCCTCCCCGCTCAGGTTGGGGCATGGGAAAGCACGGCCTCTGAAGGTGTCCATGTTGGTCTGCCCAGTGGTGGCCAACTTCTGCTCTAACAGGGAACCTGGGAAAATCCCCTTTCATGGCTTCACCCCTGGTGAGGAGGCCCTGGGAATCACCCACAGTTGGAACACAACAAGGGGGGTGCCCCAGAGCAGGTGGACAAATGGGAGGCAGTTTGAGGGCATGTGATCGGCAGGACTTGGGGTCAGTCGGCCTGAGAGAAAAGCCTCACAGGTGCCATGGGCCTCCGGGAGCCTTCTCCTTGCTCCAGAGCTGCCAGTTTGACGTGAGTCCTGGACATCTGCTGCGCAAAAGCTTGGGGAGGCTGGGCCTCTCAGGTGCTGGGGTTCTATTATCCAGACCGACAGTGCTTGGCAGTGCTTAGGGGACCCTGGCACCTGAGGTCCTGAGGACTCTGAGCCTCAGTGGTGCCCGTCGTGGTGACCTAGCCCTGCAGTGGGAGAGGTGGGAGAGGCCGGCCTCTGCTCGTGGAGGCCGCTCTGCCATGTCCTCTCAGGTCCCATTGTCTCTCACTCACCTATAACTCCCCCTCCCCCACATAGGCATCCTGCATCCTGCAGTTGGTCAAACACATCCAGAAGCTTCAGGCAAAGGAGGTGCCAGTGGCAGAGGAAGTCAGTGCCCTGTTTGCTGGGGAGCTAAACCCAGTGGCTCCCAAGGCCCAGAAGAAAGTTCCGATTCCTGAAGGGTGAGCCATGAGCCCGGTCAGAGGGCCTAGGGAGTTGGACAGGGCGTGACAGCCATGGCTGACCAGTATCCTGCCTCTAAAGGAACAGTGGGCGGGAGCAGATGTGCCCGGAACCCGCTGTTCAACAGAAGAGGGGCAGGAGGAATGGCTGGTGCCTGACCCTTGTGGGCTGGACTGACCATCCCTGGGATATCCTTTCGTTCTCTGGGTCTTGTTGCCCCATCCTCTGTGCCACCCTCTGGGAAGTGGTTGGGGGAGGCATTATGCTGTGGCATCCCCAGAATGTGGGTAAAGCTAGTGCCAAATCCAGTGTGCCCCAGGCTCTGCCTCACTGCTGTGAGCTGGGGCAGCTGCCCAGCCTTCCATGTCCTTGTCTCAAGGGCACGGCAGCATCTAGGGCCAGGACCACAGACTGGAGCCACCTTGTGACCCCACTGTGTACTATAGCCTGGACCTGGATGCCTGGATCAACGAGCCCCCCTCGGACAGTGAGTCTGAGGACGAGAAGCCCAAGGCCATCTTCCATGACGAGGAGCAGCGACATGCCAAGCAGCAGCCACCTGAGGTGGACGAGGAGGAGCTGGCCCGGGTGAGCGCCTTGGGGTATAGGGCTTCATTCCAGCATGCAAGGTTGAGATATCCAGGAACAGCAGGCAGCTGTGTCTCCCAGCTTCCTCCCCATTTCTTACCAACTCCACGCGCGCCTGCCCTCCGAATGGGGAAAGGAACAGCGTCTCCCCAGAACCCCTTCCCTGGCTTGACCGACCCTTTGGGCATTGTGGTCTGGAGATGGCACCCGAGCTTGTCTCAGCTCTGCCCCAGGAGCTGAGCAGCCCCAGGGAGCCTCTAGCCTCAAAACAAAGGCCCTCACCCCCACTCCTTGGGGTTAATACTGACTGCCTGTTACACCTTCTCCCGTGCCCCCCTCACCCCTCATCACTCACCATCTCCCTGTGGGTCCAAGGCTGGGAGATCTTGCCTGTTGCTCTGTAACTGCCTCCACCACGCCCACATGCTCGCTGACATGCATGTTGCCTCCTGTCCCTGTAGCGCCGAGAAGCCCGGAAGCAGGAGCAGGCCAACAATCCATTTTACATCAAAAGTTCCCCATCCCCCCAAAAGGTAAGGCGAGTCCCAAGACACTCTCGAGGGGCCTTCCCCCAGGTACTGCAACGAGGACACGGGGTCATTACGCAGGCAGACACGTGTGTGTCACAGTGGGTCCCGTGACACGATGACAAGAGAGTCAGTCCCGCATGGTCCCCGAGTCCGGCTAATTTACTGGCCCGAGGCTGCAGGGGGGCACTGACTTGATACCTGCTCATGTTTTCAAGTTGCTCTCACTATGTCATCAGTGCCATCAGCACACAGGTCGCAGTTTCTCGTCCTTGTGGTAAGATAGCTTTAGGATCCAATCCTGCAGCTCACACGTGAGCAGGCCTCACCAGTTGTAGTGGCCGTGCTGCCCATCACTGGCCTTTGGACTCCACAGCCGTGCTGGTGGGGACAGTGGGGTCTCACCGGGGCTTCAAGCCGCATACTCAAAGAAACAAAACGAGGCTCAGATGGGGAAAATTGACAAAATGCTTGGCCTCACCCTGCAACTGCCCTGAGTTGTTCACACGCATGCGTGCCCGGCGCTAGGGGAGCTGTGCTCCAGGAAGTGCCCTCTCCATGCCTTCTTGCCTCGTGATGCCTTAAAACTTGCTTCTGCAGAGGTACCAGGACATGCCAGGCGTGGAGCACATACCTGTGGTGCGAATTGACCTCTCGGTGCCCCTGAAAGTACCAGGCAAGCTTTTGCATGACCATTCAGACCTGGGGAGCCCCACACTCCAGGTCCCAGATGCCCTCAAGCCAGCCTTCCTCCTCCTCGGGCTGGTGTGAGCCCCTCTCTGCACCCATCTTGGCTCCTTGTCTGAGGCATGCCCTGAGGTGGCAGGCAGCGGAGGCTCCAGCCCTGCTGTGCCTGTTCTCCCTCGTTTTACCCCCAACCTCCTGCCCAGCTGCTCCTTGGCATTCAGAGGGGTGGGGCCTACCATTCCCTCACCCTTCAAGTGCAGTGTCTGTGGGGGATGCAACATGGGCCCTCTGCACGCTGCCGCCTGTAGGCATGCCCATGTCAGACCAGTACGTGAAACTGGAGGAGGAGCGGAGGCACCGGCAGCGTTTGGAAAAGGACAAGAAAAGGAGGAAGAAGAAGGAGAAGGAGAAGCGGGGTAAAACGCGGCGCCACAGCTCACTGCACACAGAGAGCGATGAGGACATCGCCCCGGCGCAGCAGGTGGACATTGTCACAGAGGAGATGCCAGAGGTCAGCGCACATGCCCCCCACAAAGGGCAGGAACAGGCTCTTCCTCGTCGCTCCCGGCTGTGCTTGAACCACCCACCCATGTCCAGCACAGGTGGTCAGAGGCCATCTTCCTCTGGGAGGCTATGAGCCCTGTCCTCTGCCCTGTGCCCCAGGATAAGGGGACAGGAGGACCGGGGATCTAGGCCTATGAGTGGTGGCCCCTCCCGGGCTCCCGTCCTCATTCCATTACCTTGCATCCCACTCGCATGCCTGGCCCTGCATTGGACACCCCCATAGGTGTGGGCCACTGGCCCTTTTGGGCGGTTGGGGAGCCAGGCCTATTAGACTAGGGCCAGGGCCAGGACTGGTTGAACTGGATACCAGATCCCTCTTCTCCCCCAGAACGCTCTGCCCAGCGACGAGGACGACAAAGACCTCAATGATCCCTATAGGGCCCTGGATATTGACTTGGATAAGTAAGTGGGGGCTGGATGGGAGCCTGGGCTTGGAGGTTCCCGTGCTAGGGGTGTGGGTCAGAACGCTGCCAAGGGGGTGCTGGAGTAGACCCTTGGTGTGGCCGAGACCAGCCTGGGGCCTTGCTTGGGGATGGGCAGGCGTGGCTGGTCCAGCCAAATCCCTGCACGGGGTGACTCTGCCCCCTCGGCTGCTCTTGCCACTCCTCTAAGGACAGACTCACCCTAGGCACCTGCAGTCAAAGCATGAGGTGTCCCAGCTTAGTGCACTCCCGCCCCGTCTCCCTCTAGTCACTTGCTGTCCCAGAAACTGTTCAGTCAGGCGCTGCCTGTTTGTAAAGGGACCCTCTCCCCTGCTACTGTAGGGGCATCACGCAGCCCTGAACTCCATGCCTTTGGGCACCTTGGGAGGGCAGGCAGAGCCCTCAGGCTCATCCCCTCGCCCTGACATCATCTGGGCTGCCCCCTTCTCTGCCTGTGGCCCTGCCTGCACTGGATCACTGGGCCTGGGTTTGAAGAAGGCCACATAGGACCTAAGCCCCAACCCCAGTTTTTCTTGGGATCTACACATGCCCTTGTTCTGATAGCAAATCCTGGTGAGACCAGTACCCCAGGCCACTCCTGTCCCCTAGTCCTGCTGCTGCCCGCCCGCTGGCTTCACCCAGCCAGTCTTGTCATGCCCCTCCTGACCTGGCCTCTCCACCCCAGGCCCTTAGCCGACAGTGAGAAGCTGCCCATCCAGAAACACCGAAATGCTGAGACCTCCAAGTCTCCTGAGAAGGATGATGTCCCTGTTGTGGAAAAGAAGAGCAAGAAGCCCAAGAAGAAAGAGAAGAAGCACAAAGAAAAGGAGCGAGAAAAGAAGCGGGAGAGTGAGAAGAAGGTAACAACCTGGGGGTCTTGTTTTCCTCCCCCAAGTGGCGGGAGACTCGCTCGGGGAGAGAGCCCTGTACAAGCTCCAAGTCCAGCCGGGGGAGGCCCTGGGCCCTCACCATCTTGTCACCGAGAGTGAAACAAGCCCCCGCTGACGCCTGCTGCCAGCACGTTCCATGCTGCACGCTCGCTCACACACGGGGAGGCAGGCCCTGGAGGAGGCTTGCACGCCGCTCCCAAGTCTCCCTGCGCTCGTCCACCCCGTGTTGGTCCTTCATGGCAGTGACCAGCCATCGTCCCTGGTGAACATTGCTGTTGGGAACAATGTGTCTTTCCCCGAGGATGTGTTTGAGGGTGTTCTTCTGATGACAACTGTTGGACCAAGCTGTGTGAGCCCCCCTCTGGCATCTCAGCTCCCAGACAGCTTGGATAATGCGGGTCCTGTGCCTGCTGGGGGCTCCTTTGGCCATGGGCTTGTCTTCCTGTGGTTTCAGGGTGAGGACTTGGATTTCTGGCTGTCCACCACGCCCCCACCCGCTGCTGCCCCAGCCCTGACCGTGGTAAGAGCCAGGGGACAGCCCGTGCCAGCCCCACACGGCCTGGGGTCAGGTGCGGGGTCTTTGCAACCTGGGCAGAGCTGCTCCATTCTCAGATGTTGGACCCTGCTCTTGGCACTGCCTCTGCCTAAGGCTGCATAGATGCCAGGGCACTCTTTGGGGGGCCCAGGTCTGGACCTGGTCGGTCTGTCTGAAGGTCTCTCCAGGCAGTGGCTTCAAGACTGGAAATGGCTGGGCAGCCAGCACAAATCCCCATGCCCCCCAGTTGTGCAGCAGCCTTGAGAGGTCCCTTACGTTAGTAGGTGGGGCCTGATGGCTCATGGTAAACCCCACCCACTCAGCTTCCAGCCAGCCCCCGGACCAGGCATCCTCCCGCCTCTGCCAGCTACTTCTGTTGTCTGGTCAGCCCTTACCTGCCAGTGGGACCAAGAGGCCAAGGGACAGGCGGGTCCAGGGCAGCTTGGACTCACCACTGCAGGGGTGTCCCCCGCACAAGAGCACTCGCGGGGGAAGAGGACGGAGGCCACCGTTCCTGAGCCCAGCAGCCCCTCTAGCCCTCACTCCTGGTTCCCGCAGGAGGAGCCCGAGGTGATCAGCACCTTGGCTGCCCCCAAGGAGGAGCACAAGGAGCCCAGCAAAGAGCAGCAGGATGAGGACGAGGAGGAGGAGGAGGCAGACCCTGACAAGGTGAGGGGCTTGCAGCGTGTGCTGTGGAGGCCCCAGGCCCCAAGTAGAGGAGGCCTGCCTGCTGCCCAGACCCCACCACCTGGGCCACCATGGTTTCCCCTGTTGCCAAGGTTACGGATATTGTTTTCATGACGGCTTTATCAAGCTGCACCTCACACACCTTACCACCATCCAGTTCCAGAAAATTCCATCACCCCAAAAGGAAACCATGTCTCCCTCAGCATTCACCCCCATCCCTTCCCCAGCCCCACGAACCCACTCTCTGTGGCTGTGCCTGTCCTGGACGTTTCTCGTCAGTGGACTCATATGGCGTGGCCTCATGTGTCTGGCTTCTCTCCCTGAGCATCACGTGTTCAGGGTCCTGGGTCCCTCCCCGTGGTGGCGAGTGTCAGAGCAGCCCCCCATGCATGGCCAGTGATATTCCCAGGTATGGGGGCGGGGGCACTGTGTGGGTGTCTGCACACCTGCTCTGGATACCTGCATAGTTTGCCCTCCTTGGCCATTGTGACTTGTGCTGCTGCGAACACGCGTGACAGACCGTGTGGACGTGTTTCATCTCAAGTTCATACCTTGTGTTTCCCGGTGTTGGGCCATCATGTTTGAGTCCTTAGTAGTTCACGCCTGCATCCTGGCCTTGGTGCACTTGTCTGATGGTTTCCCTGGGGTGTTTCTGGGGCCTCCTGTGTGGACCCCATCTGCCAACCCTGCCTTGTCCTGTCTCAGAAATCTTCCAAGCATAAGAAGAAGAAGCACAAGAAGAAGGAGGAGAGATCCAAAGACAAGAAGAAATCCAAGAAGAAAAAGCCTCTGAGTGAGGAAGCCTCAGGGCCCGTGGAGAACGGCGCAGTGGAGGAGGAGCCTCTCCCGGTGAGGGACTCCCTTGCCTCGGGCGCATGGGGTCCACGCAGGACCTGACAGTGCTGGGGGTGGGGGGTGAGGGGCTGCTATCCAGGCTGGGTCATGTGCCAGTGTCAGTCACCCTGTGGGGTGCCTTCCTGAGTCCCGAGTCACATGGGACTGATTTGTGCCCTGTGAAGCAGTTGGTGACTCAACTGAACTGTCTGTCCGCAGCCCATGTCCAGCTACTGCCTCCTGGCTGAAAACTCTTACATTAAGATGGTGAGTGCTGTGAGCAAGTTGGGGGCAGATGGGGTGGGGACTCCCCAGTGGAGGCCGCTCTGGGGAAAACAACCCCACACCAAGCATGCTCTCTGCCCTGTGCGATTGTGGGACCAGGGGCTGACGTGGTGGCGGACATGGTTTTCAGAGAAAGGACAGGAATGGTTTGAGAGTACAGACAAAAAACAGGCTGGTTCTCTCGGTGGGAGGTTATGGAGACTTGGGCTCTCTCTGCCCTTCATTTAGTCCCAGGGGGGCGGGGGGAGGGGGGTCTCATGGCTCCGCCGCTCCTCTGACCTGGCCGTGCTCTGTGCAGACATACGACGTGCAGGGCAGCCTGCAGAAGGACAGTCAGGTGACTGTGTCTGTGGTCCTGGAGAACCAGAGCGACAGCTTCCTGAAGAACATGGAGCTCAGCGTGCTGGACTCACTTAACACTAAGCTGACCCGGCCAGAGGGCTCCTCCGTGCACGATGGTGTCCCTGTGCCTTTCCAGCTGCCCCCAGGTGAGGGCCGGCCTGGGCGCTCCCCGGGGTCCCACTCAATCTTGTTCCCTCCACTCGTCCTCAGCCGTGACTGAGCCCTTGCCTAAGATGGGGGACAGGAGAGGGCCCTCTGTTCTGCCCCTGTGCCGCCCGGTGTGACTTAGGCCCTGCTCCTGCCATCCTCGCCAGGCATCTCCAACGAGGCCCAGCTTGTGTTCACCATTCAGAGCATTGTCATGGCCCAGAAACTCAAGGGGACCCTGTCCTTCATCGCCAAGGTACCCAGGCTCGCACGACACCTATGCCCACTCTGCAGGCTGGGATCCCCGGGACCCCAGGTTGTGTCCTGAGGGCCAGGAGGCCCCACAGGGCTCACTCCCCACTTACTCCGTGCCCTGCTCCCTGCAGAACGATGAGGGTTCCACCCACGAGAAGCTCGACTTCACGCTGCTCTTTCGCTGCACCTCGTACATGATCACCACGCCGTGCTACAGGTGTGCGCCCGCCCACCCTCCTGCCCGCCCCGTTCTGTGGGCCGCTTAACTCAGAGTGCCCTTGGACCTGAGGTGTGATAGGCCACAGATGGAGTGTCGTGTCGCCAGCTGTAGTTAGTACATGAAGTCCGAGTCATCTGACATGTCAGCCCGTCTGGTTTATTCACGCACCCCACCGGCCAAAACACACCTTCTCTGCAGTGCCGGAACTGGAGATGGGTGCAGGCAGGGTTGGTCTATCCTGACGCCTCTCCCTGGCACGTGGACAGCCGTCTTTTCCCTTGTCCTCAGGTCACCCATCATCCCCTGTACGTGTCCGAGTCCTTATCTCCTCTTCTTGCCAGGACATTGGTCAGCCTGGCGTAGAGCCCACCCAGCAACTACTTCACCTTAATCGCCTTGTTAAAGGCCCCATTTCCAAAGATTCTTAGGTCCTGAAAGTATTAGGGCTTCAACCTATGGATTTGGGGGCACACTTCAGCCATGACATCTTCTAAGACTCTTGGACACCTCCCAAACTCCAGGCGTAGAAGGAGAATGCCTGCCCGGGAGCTGGGGTCTCTGCCTGGTGTCAGCCTCTGTGTCCTTTCCACAGTGATGCCTTTGCCAAGTTGCTGGAGTCTGGAGACCTGAGTATGAGCTCAATCAAAGTTGATGGCATTACTATGTCCTTCCAGAACCTTCTGGCAAAGATCTGTTTTTACCACCATTTCTCCGGTAAGGGGTTTGATGTGACTGATAGATCACACGGCCTTTCCATACATGTGATTATCCCTCTGCTACCCAAGGGGACCTGCACGGGCCTTGCCCCTGCTCTGCACTGTCCCAGTCCCCAGGGCAGGCTTCACCCCTGCCTGCTCTGCCCTGTCATCATCTGTGGTGCCTTACCCCTGCTCCGTTGCAGTTGTGGAGCGGGTAGACTCCTGCGCCTCCATGTACAGCCGCTCCATCCAGGGCCACCACGTCTGCCTCCTGGTGAAGAAGGTGAGCCCACCCCTGCCCACCCCACCCCAGGGCAGCACGACTGTTGCCAGCATCCTCAGGCCTCTGAGCTGCTGCCCCCACTGCGTGTCCTGAGGTGGAGCCCCTCCCATGGTGCTCGCTGCTGGGAGGAGCAGGCCTGTCTTTTGCATGCTGCATGGCCCCAGGCTGCGGGCGCTCCAGTGCCACAGCACTGAAAATACCTGTCGTGGGTTTCCTGTCAGGGTGAGAAGTCGGTATCAGTTGATGGGAAGTGCAGTGACTCCACGCTGCTGAGCAACCTGCTGGAGGAGATGAAAGCTACACTGGCCCAGTGCTGAGTGCTGTCCGCGAGCCCTGCGCAGCCGACACGCGGGGGAGGTGGCTACCGTGTGTGCAGTTCCTGTCGCATGTACTGTACCAGCCCGTGCGTTACGTCCACTGTCGTCCACCACTTAGACGTTCAGGTTATGTGTTTCATTGATCTCTGTCGTCTTTTTCACTTTGACTTTTTCCACTCTCTGGTGAGAAGCCCTGTTCCAGTCCCCAGAACAGCGGGGCTCCTGGGGTCGAGAGCTAACTGCTCACGGCATGGGGGCTGCCGGTGGGCCCGCGGGGCCACCATCCCGGCCAGCTCCTGGGGGCCTAGGGTAGGTGCTTTCAGTGGGTAGGACAGGCTCCCCACACATTTGCTTCTGTGAAGTTGTCCAAGTCCCACAGTCTCCCCAAATACCCTGCCCCGCAGCATCTCGGGGGTGAACTAGGGACTGGATGTCACCTCGCAGCTGCAGGTCAGGTCTTGGTGTCCCCAGGACGTTTGGTGAGAAACAGCAGGCTGTCATCCATAGCGTTCTCCACATCACCCCCCATGTTCGTCTGCCACGGAAGGAACTCAGTGGATGCCAAGGCGGGGTGTCGCCGAGTGTAGGGAATCCACAGGACCCCTGTTAGAGCTGACCTCGTTGATTTTCGTTGTCCTCATTCATAGAAGCGTGTCTCTGTCAGTGTTGCTTGGGGTGCGTGCCAGAGTGCCGGTCTCCTTTTGTCACTGAACACTCCACAGGGCTGCCCCCACTTTATGCCACAGCAGCCGAAGGGCCCTTCCCGGCCCAGGTCCTCCCGGTGAAGCACGTGTGTCCCGGGGCAGCCTGGCTATTGTGCACCTCATGGGCGGGGGTGGGAGGTGGTCGGGGGACCCCAGGCGGCCCAGCCTCCCCCACCCCTGTGAGACAGAACCTTCCTCAGATGATGGTCCTCAATGACGTTTTAGCTTTTCCTTTTGATGAAAACTGTCACTTTAGCATGTAATCTATTACAGAATCCTGTGCAGTGATTCTAGAATATCAAAATTGTATGATGTGTTATATAAGAATTTGCTATCAACATTCCTGTATAAAGGAGAGAGATATCACGTTGCTGTCATGATTTTGTGTCCAGATGAGCCAATAAACTTGCAAAAACAGATGTCATCACCTATTGGGTCTTGTGCCCATGCCACTGTGCTCCCCTGGCCAGGTGTCTTCACACTGTAGCCACGGGTTCACGCAGTCCCTGATCTGCTCTCGAAGCGCCAGGGCTGTGGGGTGCCCTCAGGAATGTCGCGGCACAATGGGAGAACCTTGTCGATGTGCCTCGTCTCCTGGGGTGGGGGATGGGTGGGGGGGTGATAGGATTCCCTCCCCCCATCCAAGTTCCTGGGCGCAGGTGGTAGTGGACAGAGGGCTATCCCGCCTAACCCATGTGGCTTCTCAGCTTCCACCAGCAGTCCTTCCTCTCCCTGGGAACCCCACTGGTAATGGGATGTGCTGGGTAAGCGGCAGGAGCAGGTGCCAGAAGGAAGGCCCTGCTTGTAATTTGCCTCATTTCTCCCGGCTTTACATGGTGGGACAGAGATGACTTAGAGACTGGCTGGGTCAGTAGGTTGATTTGAGAAAAGTCGGGCTGGGCCAGCAGATGGAGTCTGAATCAACTCCAGCTTGAATCCCAGAACACGGAAGACAAGGTGAACACAGATGTGCCCCCACACTAAACCCCTAAACGCTGGCCCTCCAGGCGCCCGATGGGAGAGACACCGCCTGGCCCTGGTGTTCCTCCCGGAAACCATTCTGTCAGAAAACACCAGCCAGGAGACCCAGGGACCCTGTGTGCGCCCCCTGCCCAGTGGGGTGAGTCAGAGCATCCTGTGACGGGCCAAGCCCCTCGCCTGCGCCCTCAGTGAAGACAAAGAATCCGACCTTTAAGACCTTGAAACAGCAAGTTTGTGCCACACACTGGCAATCCCCAGACTGCTGTCCTGACTACCACCCACCACCCGCCAGGCCCCATCGGGCCCCAGGAGGACATGTGCTGTGTGGGGTGTTCGTGATGCTCCCTGGATCTACAGCGTCTACGCCAAGTGTTAAGCCGCGCAGACCAAGACAGAAATGCTTCTGTGAAGCTGGAAACTAGAAGCTCAGAGGAACACCGAGTCCAGGCTTGGAGAGCAGTCCCAGAGGGGCCCAGAATGGCAGAGCCCAGGCCAGAGGGAATGTTCACAGAGTCACCTCTGGCTGCATTGATTCCCCAGTCTTCTTGTCTGCAGACACCCCTCCAAGCCCTAGGCCAGCCGCTTGAAGCCTGTAGCTTAAGCCACACCGGGAGTACTCAGTGCAGACCGCTCCTGTGTCCCTCTGGCTGAGATTCAGCCCACTAGGACCTGAACCCCAAATTGTACTATGGCTGGCCTTGGTTTTCCCCAAACCACAATCTCACTTTGAGTCATCCAGAAAGCCAGCTAATCCCTGTGCCTGTTTCTGGGGTTGCCTAGATCCTTCATCCTGCCTGAGCCCCAACAAGGTTTCTCCCTGCTCCAAGGACTGCTCCGTGATGAGAAATGTCAGAGACATTTAATCATTCCATTAAATAGCTCTGCCAACTATTCCCCCGTGTCAATATGTACAAACCCTCGTTGCTGCCCTGCCCACCAGCTCTCAGAAAGGTTTGGGGGACCCAATGTGGCAGTGGGTTTGCTTGGCTGGTTCAGTCCTGTGGCGTCCTCGCCCTGCATGTGTGGCCGTCAGTGCTGCATCAGGCACTCGGAGGCATTTTCCAGAGTCAGGTTGGTCAGGTGTGGGGGCTCTAGACACGTGAGGCTTGGTGACATCAGGCTGTGGGAGACATGGGATGCCCTCAGTTCTGCTGTCCCATTCTCTCCCTCCTTCCGTCCTTAGGGGTCTTTGCTGGGCACCTGGGCCTCTTCCCAACTGGGGCATGCAACAGGCTGCAGGCAGATCCTCAGAAGCCAAGCCCAGAGGCCCTGCATGTTCTGTCCCTAAGATGACTCTGGGCAGGTGACAGCACCACCCCCATCACTGGGCTGTCAAAGCATGGGAAGCCTGGGCCAAAACCATTGGGTTTTGGTGCCTAACTTAGATGCCCCCTGCCACCAGAGGGCCCCCCCCCCAGGTCCCTACAGCCTCTGTCCTCTGGGTCACTCACAAGGCCGGGGTGGTTCTGCATCCAGGTGGGAGGAGCTCGTGTTTATTCGTGAGTGATGGGTGTGGTTGCAGAAGTGATGCCCAGATGTCCAGCATGTCCCAGGCACAGGAGAGCCCTGCCCGGCTGTGCCCACCTTATCCAACACCCCCACCCATCCCCACAGACAGGACCACCCCCAACACCCTTCCCCTCACCCTTGGAGGCCAGGTCAGGGCTTTTTAGAGAGGCAGCCTTACCTTGTGTTGGTGTCCTCTCTGAAAGACACCATGGGCCCTAGTTAGCCCCAAGCTTTGAGGTCAGGTATGCCTATAGACCCCGGGCCCCTCCACTGGTGCAAGTGTCCATCCTAGGGGTCCTCCCCTGCCCTGACCACCCACTGGGGCATGGGTAGGACCAAACTAGGGACACTTTAGCCAGGATGATCTGACCCCTTTGTGCAAGCTGAGCTCAGAGACCCTCAAGGAACAAGGAAGGGACTGGGGCTCTGAGCACAGGCCAAGTCCTGCTTCCTGGTGGTGTCCCCTACCACATACTTACCCTCAAGGTCGTGCACATGCACAAGCACACACACGGCATCTGATAAAACTTTGCGTTGGGTTTGGGAAAGGGAACTTACTTGTGCCACTCATTTCTACAATGACAGCGACAACAGGTTTGGAGTTGGGCCAAGTGGCCACATTCAGGGTCCCCTCCCTGAGCCCAGCTGGCTGACTCACATGTAAAGAAGAAGGCCTTGCACAGCCTTTTCCCACTGAGATGAAGACCTGCAGGGACAGGGTATGTGTGTAGGGAAAGTAGCCCCAATTTAGGGGGCCTGTGTAGGGAGATGTCCACCCATCCCCACCAGGTAATGAAAGGCCAGGAAGGGGTTGGAGAAGTGGACTCTCAGCCCAGGTGGACACAGTGCCTGAGCCCTACTCGCAGTTGTAGCCAAAGCAGACGACATGCGAGTCCGTGCAGTTGGTGCAGGAGATAGTCTCATACTGGAAGATGCCTGCAACACACAAGAGCTGGCCACGGGCTCCTCTCAGCCGCAGCCAGCGCCACCTCTGCCGCGGCGCTGCCGAGGCCCCAGCTTGAACAGGGACTGACTCACCACAGTGACGCTGACAGTCGATGCGGCCTGTGCGGGGACAAGAGCATGGGCGGCGGGCGTGGGGCTTCGGCCTACCTCCCCAGGTCCAGCCCATTTGTCCTGGCATGGCGCGAGCCACTGCGAGAGCGCCTCCAGGGGCCAGTCGGAAAGGTGGCAGGAGGCAGATCTAAGACCCGCCGGGCTGCAAGATGCCAGGCGCCCACTCCCACCTGGACCATCCCTCGCCTGCGGGACCCTCCCTCCCACAGCCGGCCCGCTCACTCTCGATGATGGCGTTCTGAATGAGGTGCACCTGCTCCCGGAAGATGGCCCGCAGCTCGTTGGGGAAATACCCTGGCGGGTGACGGCAAGAGGAGGTCAGACGGGGCGGGCGGGCCTCGGTCTCCCGCTCGCGAGGCGGCCGCCCTTACCCGGGAAATACATCTTCCCCTGGTACAGCTGATCCATCCTCTGGTACACGGCGCTGGCCACCTGGTCCAGCTTCTCCCGGGCTGGGGCGGGAGGAGGGGCGGTGAGCGGCCGGCCGGGGGGTCGAGCGCGGCCGGGGCGCGCCGGACGGGCCCGAACTCACTGATCTCCGCGGGGATGGCCAGGTGCAGCTCCCTCATGGTGTCCTGGCTCCACTCGGAGAGCAGCGAGCCGGACACGGGGATGTCGCCCACCCACCAGGACTTGAGATTCACGTGGTGGCGGTAAAAGGAAAATTTCTCCGAGAAATTGCCGTGGCAGTGCAGGCAGCCGCGGGCCAGCGCCGCGCTCAGGCCCAGGCACAGCAGCAGGGCCATGGCCCGCCCCCGCCCGCCGCCGGCCAACCAACGGCGCCCGCGCCACGCCCCCGCCCGCCGCCGGCCAACCAACGGCGCCCGCGCCACGCCCCTCCGCCGCGCACCAACCAACGGCGGCCCGCGCCACGCCCCTCCGCCGCGCACCAACCAACGGCGCCCTCCTGGGTCCCGGGCCGCGCTCACGCTCCGCCCCCCGCCCAGGCCCCGCCCCCTCAACGGAGTACCGGCGGCGCCAGCTCCGCCGCCAACCCCGGATTGGCCCCGCCCCCAGAATGCGGCGCAGACATTTGCTCACAGCCAGCTCACGCTCCTCCTGCCAGGGCGGCCCCGGCTCAAAGCCCCGCCTTGCGCTTCAGGCTGGGGTAAGCTCCGCCCACTGAGGGCGGGAGTCGCTAGCACCAGCCAATAGCGTCACGGCCCGTCCCCAGTTGCCAGGCAACAAGAAGCTCGGCGGTCAGGCCTTTCCCTTGGTTGGTCCCTGCGCTCAGAGGGCTGCTTCCTGGGAGGCCTCCGCGGGCGGCGGAAGTAGATCCGGCAGGGCGGGCGGGCCCGGGCGGGGCCTGTGGTCGTGTCCCTCCGCGGCGGGCGGCGAGGCGGGACGGGGCGCTGGGCGCGGCCGCGCGCACCTCGGCTGGGCAGCACCCGGGCGACAGGTGGGTCCTGAGGGGCGACGCCGGGCGCGGGCAGGCCGGGACGAACTCGGGGGCGGGGGCGGGGGCGGCCCTCGGCGGGAGGAGGCGGGGCGGGGCGGGGAGCGGCGGGAGCCCCGGTGGAGCTCGGGGTGACGCTGTCCCTGGGAGACGTCCTGAACTGTGGAACGCATGGCATAAAGCAGATTCTTTAAAAATTCGCATTAAACCTGTAGGTCCTATGTCATCTACGTGGGCCCCACGTCGCCTTCGGACCCCCCTCCCTGTGAAGTTACCGGGGCTCCCTCGGGGCGGCCGGGGGGGCGCCTGTCTCGAGGCCGGCGGCGGCCCGGGGCTCTCCGGGGGGCACCTGCCTCGGCCAGCGCCGCCTCCTGCGGGGGAGCGTGAGGGCGGCAGCGCCCCAGGCCACGCGCCCCCAGCCCTTGTCCTTGCGGGGCGCCCCCTGCTCGCCCGCCTCAGGGCCCGGCGGGGCGGGGCGGGCGGGGCCTGCGGGGCGGGGGGGGGCGGGGGCGAGCGGCCGCGGGGCTCGCGTCTGTGCTAATGGCCAAGTCTTTTATCGCCGGTCGTGCACGAGGGAAGGGGGAGACTGGACATACAGAAAGTCACCAAGCCCCAGCTGGGGTCGCTGCCACCCCGAGAGCCACTGTTGATTGGGGGCCGGATTCTTCAGGTCTTCATGCCCAAGTACTTTCTCCCCCGTGCCTTTTTGTTGTTAGTTTTATAGAGGTTTAATTGACACACACTGAAAAGCACATACTTTTTAAAAATTTTTTTTAAAGATTTATTTATTTATGCGTCTAAGAGCTGGGGTACAGGCCAGAGATGTGGGGCGTGAGAGGATTCACCAGATAGAATGGGGAGCACAACAGGCGGATCTGAAATACACTGCTGAGGGGAGCAGCAGGGAGACAGGAGAGGTCCGTGGCACCATGTGGGTAGCTCCCTGGCTGGCCGGGGATCAAACTCGTGCTGCAGAGGCTGTGGATTGCTTCATAGTGAGGTGCTTAACCCCTCGCGGCACCAGGGAGGCCTGAAAAGCACATACTTAAAGCGTATAATTGGATAAATTTTGACTTACAATGTATTGCACCTTTGCATATTTCACACCTCACCTTGCATATTTCACAAGTTTACCTGCACTGTCTGGTTTAGATGTGCTTCCGTTACGCATGCCCCAACCCAAGATTTTAAAACTCAGAGGCACTGATTTATTAGCCTATTTTACAGACTCAGCACTGAGGAATGCCAAAGGTACTGCCTCTGCCAAACGTCAGATGTGGGCACTGCAGCCTCTCCTAATCCCCTGTTGTACCTCCAAAATTGTCTTTTTTTTTTTTTTTTTAGATTTTGTTTATTTATTTATTTATACAAGCACTGGGTACAGTCAGAAGCACGGGAGGGTGAGAGAATTCACCAGAGCGGGGAACAGAACAGACAGACTGATGAAGGACACTGCTGAGGGGAGCAGCGGGCACTGCAGCAGAGGTCTGTGCGCCATGTGGGACCCTCGCCCAGAGGCCGGGGATCAAACCGGCGCTGCAGAGGCTGCGGGCAGCTTCGCAGCCCAGCGCTCAACTGCTGCACCATCAGGGGAGGCCCCACAATTGAGTCTTGAAGACATTCAGTCTTGAAGACTGACTGATTTCCCTGATTCTTATGGTCACCTGTTGGGGTCTGTCACTGGAGATAATTGAACAGGAGTGAGAACAGCCAGTTGCCCCTGCCTGGACCCTGCTTCTGCCCACTCCAACCACCCCTCCCACCCCTGCACCCTTGATTTATTCACTCCTTCCCAGGTCCAACTCACACCTCAAACACCAGTCCATCCTCCCACTGAGGTAGAGTGACACTAGCCACACATGGCAAGTCAGCACTTAAAACGTGGCTGATCCAAACTGGGATGTGCCATCAAGCAAAAGAGACCAGGTCTGGAAGATTTAGTATCTTGTTTTTTTAAAGGCAAAATATCTCTTCAGCATTTTCTATGTATATTCATTAGCTGTTAAAATGCTATTTTGGCACTTTTGGGTTAAATAGAATATACTATTAATATCAATGTTGCCTATTTTCTTCTTTTTGCTTTTCAATCTAAATACTAAATATTGGAAATAACACATGCAGCGCATGTTATATTTCTAGCATCTTCTGTGGTATTGATTCTTTCCACAAAATATATCTCCAGTTCCTGCTTTCGTCACATTGCGCTTCCTGTTTGTGGGTTTAGTTATTTCTTAAATAGGCTCTCAAAGAATTTAGCCAGATGCTTAGTGAATGGTAACTGGTGAATTCGTGTTGGCTGTCGTCTCTAATAATCTTTATTTTTCATAGCAAATTTAGGGTCACAGCCTAATTAAGGGGAGGAACAGGGAATTCCCACACCGCCCTATCACACCAGGGCACGGCTTTCCCGTTAGCAGGGTCCCCCACCAGATGGCACATTTGTTAGAAGGATGAACCTCTGTGGGCACATCATAATCGCCCAGAATTTATGACTGGCATTAGGGCTTACTCTTGCTGTTGGATGTTCTGTGAATTTAACAAATGTGTAATGGTATGTATCCGTCGTTACAATATCATGCAGAGTCGCTTCGCTGCCCTAAAAAATACTGTGGTGGGGGGGCCTCCCCAGTGGTGCAGCGGTTGAGCGCTGGGTTGCGATGCTGCCACAGCCTCTGCGGCGCCGGTTCCATCCCCAGCTGCTCCCCGGCCACCGAAGGAGGGTCCCACATGGGGCGCAGACCTCTCCTGCCGCCCGCTGCTCCCCTCAGCAGTGTACTTCGGTCCTTCTGCCTGCTCTGCTCCCCGCTCTGGCTCTGGTGAATCCTCTCACCCTCCCGCGCTTCTGACTGTACCCAGTGCTCGCATAAATAATAAATAAATAAATGAATGAATGAATAAATCTTTAAAAAAAAAAAAACTGTGTGTGCTCCACAGATTCACCAGCTCCTCCCCCGACACCGGCAACTACTACTCTCTTTACTGTCTTCCCTCTGCCCTGCCTTTTCCAGAATGTCCTTTCAATATGTAACCCTCAGATTGCCTTCTCTCATTGAGCAATACACATTTAAGGCTTCTCATGTCTCTTCATGGCTGCATAGTTTACTTTCTATGTGACCCTAAAGGAACGTGTCTATCGTCTGCATCTTTCGCGAAACCCAGCCCACTGTTCTCCCGTAACAGGCCTCCCTAATAACTCACAACCCAGATTTTAAGTTTGTCACTCTTTCTGGCTCAGCAAAAGCAGAGAGGTTATTTTAATCCCCCAGGAGCCTTGGGGAAGTACTGTTTCAGCTTTTGAACTTTTCGGTGACTCCTGTTCTACACATTTAAGGCTGTCATTTTCGTACGTGAAGATGCCTCTCAGACAGCTCAGGTCTGGAAAGTCAGCCATTAATCATCTTTCCGGGACCTCTTCTCCCATCCCAGTCTTCATAAGATGGAGGTTTCACAAAAATTCCCCAGGCAGCCGACTTGGAACTTGGGTTTTCACTGGGAGCAGTTTCAGACATGCCCCAGCTGGTGTTTCTGATTTCCTGGAATTTTGAGGTTCAGATTGCTTAAGCAGAAAAGGGGAATCTGACTTCAGAAACCAATTCTGGAAAAAGATACTCATGCCTGTGCTTCCTGAATCCCAAAAGAGACATTTGGGGCGGGTCTGGGAAGTGGCACCCTGGGTGCTATAGGGTATGGAGCAGATTCCCTGGCTCCCACCCACTCAGTACCAGGACCACCCCCAATATGACAACCACTGATGTCCCCAGATACAGCCCAATGTCCCCTAGGGCAGTCACCCCGATGAGTCCCACAGCTGGAGCTGATATAATGGGTCACTATTCACAGAACCCTGGAGAGAGTGGGGTGCTAGACGGCCTGGCCACAATGGCTGTCCCCCCTCCCTTCCTCACTGGGGTCGGTGACCAGTCAGGTCCACATCCTGAAGATCCTGATAGTAAAAGGAAGCTGGATGGCCAGCAAGGAAAGTCTGTGCGGGTCTGGAGTCCCAACACATTTCTTGTGTCAGCTAAACATGTCACACCGTCTCCTAAAACCTTGGACTGAGTCACCCTTGGCAGGAAGTGGGGTTTTTCTTGAGTGGCCGCAGCAGCCATTAGAGACCTCACACATTCCTCTTTCATCTCTGAGGTAAACTGAGGCAGAGGCAGCCTACTGGGAGTTCCTTTCTAGGATGTAGAATTATCTGCTGGTGGGTGCACAGCAGCCAGGGCCCCATCTTGTCCTGTGGAATGTAGGTGTTGGCCGGGGGGACCGCAGTTCCAGTCCCAGATCCACCTTTTGTCTCTGTAGCTGCGGTACTCTAGGCCCCAGGAGGCCCCTCCTGTGCCTGGAGGCCTCTGAGTTAGCCGCAGCCTTCACATCCCCGGACCTGTGGCTGCATCGCCCCATCTCTGCCTGTCGTCACACAGCTACTTCCCTCTGCTTTAGCCCAAGTCACCCTCCTTATAAGGACAGCAGTCATTGCATCTGGGCCACCAGCCTCCAGTGTGACCCACTGTCGCTGAGCACGTCTGCAAAGACCCCTTTTCCAAACCAGTTCATATTCCCAGACATGTCTTTTGGGGGGGCATGACAACCCACCACAGGGAGGTGGCGAGTGACTGCTGTTGGGCGTGACGTGTCCCTTCGGGGTAATGAGAACGTTCTAGAATTTGAGGTGATGGTGGTATATGCTATTGATTTTCCTAAAAGTCGTTGAATTGTGTGTGTTAGGAGGGTGGAATTTCTGGCCCCTGAATTAAAGCTCGAATTTACTAAAAGGCTCATGAGGAGAACTGGAATGTGAAAGCTCCCTGGCGGCTCCCAGCCTGGCTCGGCTTCTCCTGTCTCCCACTATACAGGTCACAGAGCCTCGCCCAGAAAACAAAGATGTGGGTGCAAAACAACAGCAGACACCCACAGGTGGGAGCCACCTCCACGTGCATCCGGCAGCCTGACTGGCAGCCTCCCTGGGGAGCAGCCCGAATGTCTAGAAATAAGAATCTCCAAGTGGCAGCAGCTCCGGGGCACAGCCCCCTTTAGCAGCAGGACCCTGGGCCAGAGCAGGGTTTTGCACACTGATCTGGAGCCTACAGGGCCCACCCCTGAGGTTGGGGCTTGCCCCCAGCCTCCCCAGCCCCCCAGCTCTGGGCGGCAGGATGTAGAGGCTCCGGAAGGAAGTGGCAGTGGGGCGGGAACTGGGCTGCACCCCAGTAGGGAGGGTCATGCGAGTCAGGGAGTCAGGTGGAAGCTTAGCTTAGAGGAACTATGTTCTATTTTGTTACAGGGGAGGGCGGGGTCTGGGGGAAAGGGTGTGTGTGTGGTGGGGCAGGGAAATTTGTCACCTTTTGTCAGTCTAGAAGTTTCTAAACACCACACACATCTCATCTTCAGGAGCCAGGCGCAGCCTGCCCACCTCCCTCCCACCGGACCTTGGAGAAGCCCAAAGAACAGAACCCATAGACGGTACCAGGACACGGGGCAGTGGGAGGGGCCTCCTGCCACTCTCCCTGGAACAGGTATTGTTCTTGACAGAAAACTTTGCTTCTGATGGAAACTCCCAGAAGTTTTAGGAAAGCATCGCTTCTGTTTAACTCTGTGTGTGTATCCTCCCGCTTTCTAAGAAAGGAGGGCAGACGAAACTTTAGCCCTCTCCCCCATCCTGCCTCATCCCCCATCCTCCCCCATCCTGCTTCTGGAACCATCCTGAGGGAGTCTGGCCCAGGGGGCAGAGGGATGTGAACACAAGAGTGGTCAGCTGCCTGGCAAGGTGGGGCCATCTCCTTGTCCCTGAAGTGCCTATCTGTGCAGGTTGTATCACCTCAGGTGACTTTCTTGGAGGTTCAGAGAGGCCCCAAAGTAAATAGAAGGCCGCCATAGATGTTTTTGCATTTCCCTTTGTGCTGTGGTTCCCCGTGGCTGTGGCTTGTCTGTGAAGTAAGCCACAGGTCTGGATCTAGGAGTGAGGAGGGCAAGGAGAACCACTGGTGGGCTCTGGCAGCAGCCTGACAGCAGCTCCACTCTGCGGATGGGTCCCCTGGTGGGGTGGGCCCGCGGGCACCTATGTGTGGTGTGGGCCTGCACTGCCTGGCCCCAGGGATGGCCAGAGCTAGAGACAGAGGATAGAGGCAGTGACTGCTGAGTGCCATGGGGTGCAGCCCCACTCGGAGGATAACCGGCGCTGGATTTGAAGTAAGAAGGCAGATGCCCCAATAACACGTGGCGAGTTATGGAGGTGCCTGTTGCCAGCTGTGTGGTCTGGGACACTTAACTCCTACTAACCCAGGGAGTCGGCCCCAGGATTGCCCCTGCCCCCAGCGGGACCGGCTGATATCTGGGGACACCTTGGTTGTCATGACTGGGGTGTTCCTGGCATAGAGCGGGTCCAGGGATGCTGCTCAATCCCCCTTCCCCCCCCCCCCCGCAGTGCCCCATCCATATGCTGGCAGTGCTCAGGGGGAGACATGGTCTGGGGCTCAGCCTTCCCACCTGTGCAGGGGACTCTGCATAGTGCCGCCAGATGTTGACTGAGGTGGCAGGAAGTAACAGTAGGGGCCAGGACCCTGTGATCAGCTCTGGGGCAGGAAGTGAAGGTGCTTTGCTCCGGCAACGCCACAGTGCCCTCGCCTCCGAGCACAGGTGCCGGAGCTGCGTCACCAGCAGGCCTCACGCTCAGGCCAACCCTGAGAGAGGTGCTGGGCTAGGTGGCCACGGTGTTTTCCCAGCTGCCACATGTTCCTCAGTGGCCACCCCTGCTCTTCCAGCCCCCACCCCTCCTAGTTTTGTCTGCTGTCCCCACACCTCGGCCACGCCCAGAGCATGTGTTCCACTTCCCTTTGGCCAAAATTTCTCTTGGGTGTTGGCATCAGGGCGGGCATTCTCTGTGGGGATCACACTCGGCCCTGTGGGGGGTTGACAGGGTCCCTGCAGGAGATGTGACAGGGAAGCGGTGGTCAGAGTGGTATGTGGCCCTGAGCCCCTACATGTTGGAAAAGGTAGGAGAGGGATTCCCACTGGAGCCCAGAGCGCCAGCCTGCCCACATCTGAGCCAGCCAGAGACCACGTCGGACTTGGGCCTTCTGGAACTTGGTGATGATACAACTGGACTATTTCGGGTTTTTTTTTTTTTTTTTTTAAGATTTATTTAGTCATGCATACAAGAGCTGGGATGTAGGACAGAGATGAGTGGGGGTGAAAGGATTCACCATGGGCCTCCCCGGTGGCTCAGTGGTAGAGCGCTGGGTTGTGAAGCTGCCCGCGGCCTCTGGGGCGCCGGTTCGATCCCCGGCTGCTCCCCGGCCACCGGAGGAGGGTCCCGCGTGGCGCGCAGACCTCTCCTGCCGCCCGCTGCTCCCCTCAGCAGTGTCCTTCGGTCCTTCTGCCTGCTCTGCTCCCCGCTCTGGCTCTGGTGAATTCTCTCACCCTCCCGCGCTTCTGACTGTACCCAGTGCATGGATAAGCAAAACAAACAAACAAATAAATAAATAAAATTTAAAAAAAAAAAAAACATGCCTCTATAAAAAAAAAAAAAAGAACTAAAAAAAAAGAAAGGATTCACCAGAGACAGAGTGGGGAGCAGAACAGGTGGATCCACTGGAATACACTGCTGAAGGGAGCAGCGGGGAGACAGGAGAGGTCTGTTGCATCATGTGGGTCAACTCCCTGGCCAGGGATCGAACTTGTGCTGCAGTGGCTGCTGATAACTTGATATACCTGAGACTTAACCCCTGCACCACCAGGGAGGCCCCAGTTGGACTAGTTCAGGCACTAGGCTGGTGGTTCAGCAGCGTAGGAGGCTCACATCCTGGACTAGGTCTACAGAGTGGGCACCAGGCAAGACCCTCTAGTCAAAAGTCAAGTGAGGGCCTCCCTGGTGGCGCAAGGGGTTAAACACCACACTATGAAGCAATCCGCAGCCACTGCTGCACGAGTTCGATCTCCAGTACAGGGAGCAACCCACATGGTGCAGCAGACCTCTCCTGTCTCGCCCGCTGCTCCCCTCAGCAGTGTATTTCAGTCAATTTTTCTGTTCTGTTCTCCACTCTGTCTCTGGTGAATCCTCTCACCGCCCCCATACCTCTGGACTGTACCCCAGCTCTCACCCCCCCACACCTCTGGCCTGTATGCATTTATTATGCATAAATAAATAAATCTTTTTTTAAAAAAAGTTGAGTGAGCACCAGCGATTTAAGCAAAAAAAAAAAAAAAAAAAGGAGGGGGGTACTATTAAATCCTAGATGGTTATTTATTAGACGTGGGTACTGACCTCGGGGCCAGGTCCGGGAGGGATTGTGGATGTCCGCTCCCACTTCCCCTCTGAGAGGACTTGCCCTCCCCTTGCTGCTCCTCGGAGAACTGTCCCACATAATGGAGGAAGAGGCTGAGCCCAGGGAGAAGCAGGCCAGGGAGGAGCAGGTGGGAGGTCAGGGTAGCCCATTCTCTGCTAGGCCTGGACAAGACCAGGGCGACCTTGTGCAGACTTCTCTTAAATGGTGTGCTGGAGTGAATGGGGCTCCCACAAAGTGCACGGGCCCCCTTTCAAAGTGGGGTCTTTTATCTTTGTCATCAGGATGGGAAGATGAGGTCACTCTGGATTTGAGGAGGGCCCAAGTCCGGTGCCTGAGGTGTCACACAGACACACAGGAGAGAACACGGACTCACCCCGCCCTGCTCTGACAGCCAGAGTATCAAAGCCAGGGGCCAGCCGGGCAGTTCCTCTGGGGCCTCTGAGGGCGCTCTCTTTGGCCTCTCCTGGACCTGGGAGCACCAGCAACCCTTGGCCCCTTGGCTTGTCTGTGCCTTCTCCTGCAAGGATGTTTTTTCATCGTTGAATTCATTAAGGGCCCACCCAGAAAATACAGGATGAGCGCCCATAAGAGCCTTCACTTGGTCACATCTGCAAAGACCCTTTTTCCAAATGAGACCCGGTTCCTGGGTGCAGGGACGTGGCTCTCTCTTTATGGAGACCAGCACACCACCTTCTGTGTCTCCCTCACCCCGTGCACATCCCCGAGCGCCCTCCACTGTCGCAGGGCTCTCGGGCAGGCGGTCACGCTGCCGGGTGTCAGGGCACCGTCTCGTCAACTTCTGTGCGGAGGCTGCCGGGATGTGCCACTGGGCAAGCTGTCCACTGGGGAGCCAGCTCCTTTGGTGAAACTCCTTACGCCCACCAGCCCTGAGAAACCTCCCACATGGCCTGCTTGTGCTTCCAGAAAGCTTACACTTAACTCGCTCTGTATTCCCAGCGCTCGGGGGACCCAGGGCCGTGACACTCCCGTGGGCCCGACTCTCGCATCCTAGGGACTCCTGCGGCTCCACCAGGGCCGTGCAGGCAGGCAGCACCATGTCCAGCCCCTTCCTGAAGCAAGTCTTCAACAAGGACAAGACCTTCCGCCCCAAGCGCAAGTTCGAGCCGGGCACCCAGCGCTTTGAGCTGCACAAGAAGGCACAGGCCTCGCTGAACGCGGGGCTGGACCTGAAGGTGGCTGTGCAGCTGCCCGCCGGGGAGGAGCTGAACGACTGGGTGGCCGTGCACGTGGTGGACTTCTTCAACCGCGTCAACCTCATCTACGGCACCATCAGCGACGGCTGCACCGAGCAGTCCTGCCCCATCATGTCGGGCGGGCCCAAGTACGAGTACCGCTGGCAGGACGAGCACCACTTCCGGAAGCCCACGGCACTGTCGGCCCCCCGCTACATGGACCTGCTCATGGACTGGATCGAGGTGCAGATCAACAACGAGGACATCTTCCCCACCAGCGTTGGTGAGTCGCGGGGCCGTTGGCAGCGGCGGTGTGGCTAGTGGCCGTGGGGGCCACGGGCCCAGGGGCACCGGCCGGGTCAGCTTGCTCCTTAACTTTGAGTAACTGCTCCTGTGGGGTGTGATCATGTGTTGGAGAGCCCAGCCTCGCACTACTCAGCGACATCGAGCGCGCTCACGTGGCTGTGCAGCCCTCACCTCTGCCTCATTCCAGAACCTCCCCAGAAAGGAGCCGTGTCCACATCATAGTCTCCCCTCCCCCTCCCCCAACCCCCGGCACAACCTCACTTTCTGTCTGTGGCCGGGCCTGCCCTGGACGTTTCTCATCTGTGGACTCATACTGTGTAACCTTCGGTGTCTGGCTTCTCTCTCTGAGCATCGTGTGTGCAGGGTCCCTCCCGTGGGCGCGGGTGTCAGAGCTGCCCCCCTTTCCATAGCTGGGTGATGGTCCTCTGTGGGAAGGGACACACTTGCTTTAAGGATCTTGAGAGGGGAGAGGGTTGTGGCTGAATCCAAATGTCATTGCAAGGGTGCTTACAAAAGGGAGGCAGAGGCGACGGAAAAGAAGCCACTAGTGGTGGGAGAAACAGGAAGGGCTCACAGGCCAGGGACGCAGCAGCTTCCAGAAAAGGCAGGAAAAGAGTCTCCATTGCCACACCCCTGGCGCCTCCAGAAGGACCGGCCTTGCCTACATCTTGACTTTGACCCCAGGAGCCCGCGTCGGAGCTCCGCCTCCAGAGCCATCTGAGAGCGCGCCCTGAGACCCACATGGAGGTCACCGTCACCCCGGGGATGGGCCTCTGCACACACCCTCGGGAGCCGCAGGCCCCTGGTCTCTGATGGGCCTGACACCTACTTGAGTCCCTCATGAGTGGGGCTCACGCCAGCCAGGGCAGAGGCCGTCCTGGAATCGGCGCTTTGCTGTCAGGTTACTGGGGCCCTGTGGGGCCCTGTGGGGCCCTGACTCCTGTGTGTACACATGCTCAGCTTCAGAGCAGTGGCTGCCAATAGCTTGATAGCACTGAGACTTAACCCCTTGTGCCCCAGGGAGATCCAAGGCACGTGCTCTTGACCAGTAGGTTATCCTGTTAGACCAGGGGTCTACTCTCCACGGGGCTAGAGGTAAGTCTTCCCAGCTCTGTGGGCCAGGGGGCCTCTGCCTCTACCACTCAGATCTGCTCCGCAAGCCATAGTGGACACCATGCACAATTTATGTGTCCTCCAGCAATTGGACACCTACTGAGAAATGCGTCCTCAGGTGATTTCCTAGCTGGACAAGTATCATGGCGTGTAGTGACATAACCAGGGTGGTCCGGCTTGCTGGGTGGTGGAGCCCGCTGGGGCCACCATCGTGTGTGTGGTCCATCGGTGACATAAACGTCATCAGGTGACACTGACTAAACAAGTGCACAGCCTATGTTCCAATAAAATTTTATCTATAGGCCTCCCTGGCGCCTAGGGGCTAAGTCTCAGCGCTATCACCACTAGGGGCTGAGTTCAATCCCTGGTCAGAGCGCAGCAGACCTCTTCTGCCCTCCGCTGCTCCCCTCAGCAGTGGATTTCAGTAGATCCACCTGTTCTATGCCCCACTCTGTCTTTGTGAATCCTGTCACCACCACCACCCTCTCCCGCCCCAACCTCTGGCCTGCATCCCAGTTCTTTTTTTTTTTTAAACTAAAGATTGATTGATTGATTGATTGATTGATACAAGCACTGGGTACTGTCGGAAGCGTGGGAGGGCGAGAGAATTCACCAGAGCCAGAGCGGGGAACAGAACAGGAAGACTGATGAAACACACTGCTGAGGGGAGCAGCAGGTGAGACAGGAGAGGTCTGCACGCCATGTGGAACCCTTGCCGGCGGCCGGGGATTGAACCAGCGCTGCAGAGGCTGTTGGCAGCTTCGCGGCCCGGCATTCAACCGTTGCACCACCAGGGGAGGCCCAGCATCCCAGTTCTTGTATGCATTAAAAATAATAATTAAATTCAGTAACAGGAGAAAAAGCCCCATTAAGGTGTACACATTGTGAGACGCACATCCAGGTGAGAGCAGTGTGGTAAGAACACTCAATGGGGAGAGAGGGAAAACTGCCATTAAACGAAAACTACCAAAAGGCAAAAGATCGGTTTTCTGGGCTGTCTCAGTCTCTGAAGACACAGAAACCTAACTGGAAGTATGCTGTGCACTGAGGCTGGAGAGCCGGATATGAGGGGCACTGAGCAGGTGCAGGCAGAGGCCGGTGGGGCAGCTCTGCCTTCGTGGGCAGATGGGCTTTGCCCGGCCCTGGCGTGGAGTGGTGAGGGTAGGAGAGGGCTACTCCCTCCTGGGCCAGGCTCCACGGAGTGCGCAGTGGTACAGAAGCTATGTGGCCTCGGACTCTCTACCAGGCCTGATGAGTGCACCCCACCCTTGGGACTGTGGGGCGGGGGTCGTCTCAGAGCCCCAGGTAGTCTCCCCGCAGCGCTGACTAGCCTGTTGTCTGTCCAGGCACGCCATTCCCCAAGAACTTCCTGCAGGTGGTGAGGAAGATCCTGTCGCGCCTGTTCCGGGTGTTCGTGCACGTCTACATCCACCACTTTGACCGCATCGCCCAGATGGGCTCCGAGGCCCACGTCAACACCTGCTACAAGCACTTCTTCTACTTTGTCAAGGAGTTCGGTCTTATCGACACCAAGGAGCTGGAGCCACTGGTGAGGTGGGGGGCGTTCTCCAGGGCCAAGGCACCCGACTCCTTGGCGTGCCCCCAGCAGCTCTTGGCAGAGTGAAGCTAACCATTGTTGTTTAGATTTGGGCCCAGATTTATCAAGTGATGATGCTGGGGTGGCGCTGGGGTGCCCTCAAGTGGAGTGGCTCCCTGCTTTCCGGGGCTTGGCGTTCAGAACCCACCCACCAGGGTTGGTTTTGGTTCCTTTTGCGCCTCACCCCTGCGGGTACCCCCAGTGTGGATACCCTGAACCCCACCAAAAAACTGAGGCCTCTGCTTCCTGGGCTACCATGCCCATGGGACCAAGGAGGCCACCCCACTACCTGCAGGGCTGGGGCGCTCCTTCTAGCAGGCTGGTTTAACATGAATCTCAATATATTATTTACAGAATACTTAGATTTGTTATGTAATTTTGTTTCTTTGCCATCACTGTGAGTATCTTCCTGTATCAGTTTTTTTGTATTTGTTAACCATCTCTTGGGGACAGATCTCCAAGGCTAGGTCTAAAGGTGATATTGCAGGTACTCATTTCTATTTCCAGAAGGCTTTCCAGAAATATCCTTCTGGCATCTGAGCAACTGTACAAGGTGGGATCAGTCTGTAAATAAAGGTTTATTGGCAAAGGCACAATCTGGGTTTTATCACCTCAGGGTAGACTTGAACCCCCAGGCATGTGAAGATCACACCCCACTTTCCATAGGGTGTTTCGATCACCCTTCTTGTTGATGCTGATGTCCTACTTGCTCTCAACAGAAAGAAATGACCTCACGGATGTGCCACTGAGCCCCTCACCGCGTCACAGCAGCGCCAGCGCCGCCAGCCGGGCCTGCTGTTCTAGCCAAGCATCTGCGAACTCCACATTCCTGCTGCTGAGATGCTCCCCGAGCAGCCCCAGGCCTGCTGTAAGCCCCGCGTGCCCCCAGCCCTGTGCTGTCACAGAGGAGATGAACTTGAACTCTGTAATTCTGTTTATTGTCCACCACAGGGAAAAACCCCTTTGTTTTTAAACCATTTGCATTGCCCACACCTGTCCCTACTGGCCCTCGTCAACTGCCCTGCCCAGCGCAGCAAGCACGTTGCTCCCGGCAGGTATGTTTCTGAGAGGTACGACTGTCCCTCCCTCACCTCTTCCTCAACCCAGTTCCGCTGCCTCAGTTCCTCCAAGGTGTTTTTGCCTGTCTGTGCAGCCATCCTGGACCCAGGTTTTCACATGTCATGAAAGACATGTCGTCAGGTAGTCTCATGTACAACTACCCTGAGATATTAAGGAAAAAAGAATTTTTACTTCTATAAGCTGGCCCACCCACACCCCCATACTGTTGTGAGCGACACAGGCCAGCTCTCCCACAAAGCTCCTCTCCTCCCAGGGCTGGGAAGCTTTGCCGTTACCTAAAGTTTACTGGGCTTGGCCTTTCTTCAGATGCCTCTTACCGCTAAGTGGAAGTCTTATGTGTGTCTCTATCCCAGTGGACAAAGGACCAAAATCCCAGAGTGCTGTGCCTCTATCAGGCCTTGGGTGATGTGACTGGGGCTCTGCAGGCACTGGGCCACGCTAGTGACCCCAGAAAGCCATGTGGTACCCCTTCAGGCTCCCAGTCCCCTGCCCTCCACCGCCCTACTCTGGCCCTACTCTGGCATCATCTGTGACCTCTCAGACAGGTGATAGCCTCTGCCTAGGCCTGCCTAGGCCTGCCTAGGCCTCTGAGTGCCTCAGAGTCCGCGATGCTAGAAGAGGAAAGTGTCTGCCTGACATTTAACAAGTGCAATTAGCGTGACCTTAGCTTGGATCCTTCTAGAGCCCATGGGTCCAGCAACCCCACCCCCCCTCCATGGGGAGATGAACCCCAAGGACTTCAGAGAACCATCCTGTCAAATGTAGCTCTTTTTAAATGCAAAGCCATGACCAAACGCCATGACCACTGTGTCCCCTCTGCCACCCCAGGACCCTGCCATTCCTCAAACCTGGCCTGGTTGGGGAAGGCGTCAGGGACAACTGGGGCAAGTGAGTCCCCTGTCGGATCCCCAAGCCCCTTCTGCACCCATAAGTATCTCCACACAAACATCATATTAAATACCGTATGGCCACAGATGCTTGTCATCATTTCTGGTTTTCTGACCTCAGGGCATGTCCTCGCGGTTGTCACCAAGAGGTGAGAGAATCTTAGCTGCCTCAATGGTCTGTGGCCCACAAAGCACCCTGAATAGATAACCAAATGCACAAAATACAGGTGGGGTTAGAATGCAGCAGGGTGGAGGCTGGGGCCATTAGGGCCAAAATGACAGACCCATGGCAGCAGGGAAGACATGGTGTCCAGAAGGCGCCCTTGTCACTCCCACATCCATCGTGAGGGTTACTTCCCACACTCGTCAACATGATTTAACTCTGCCTTTTTCTGTTAAAAAGTTGTTTCCAGAAAACCTTGACATGAGTGCAGAATAGATTCAGAGGGAATCTACAATCTAGAAATGGGAGTTTTCTATTCCCGCCATCAGTGACTCTATCTTCAAACACACCATTAGCTTAATGGAAAACTCGTTTTTTATTTCATGTGTGGAAAATGTGATGGATTACTTACTCTCAAAGATCCCTTTCAGGTAAAACTTACTGGTTCCAGGACCAACAGAATTTGGTCTTTGGCAAAACAGGTTTGGGCCTGTGCTCCAGGTAGCAAAGCAGAGCCCCCAGATGGGCAGCCCTGGCGCCTCAGCCTCTGTGACTTCCTGCCCCTAGAGGGCGTGCTGGCTCTGTGGAAAGAGAGGGATTCTTTTTTCAAAGTGAGTTCCACCTGACCTGGACACACCCTCTAAAGAAGCCTTTGTTGGCAAATGCACTACAAGGACTTTCAGGACCAGTTTAAGAATTGGGAGCTTATGGGGTTTATGAACCAACCAATTTGGGACCAATTTGTTTGGTCCCAGCTCCAGCCTGGCCCTGGGACCTGCAGACATGCCGCCTTATTTGGTAAAGGGATTTTGTAGATGCAATTGAATTGAGGATCCTGAGATGGGGAGGATTCTGGATTCTCAGGGGCCTAATGTCTCTTGAGGGAGGAGGAGGGACAGAGGTGATAGCTTGATAGTGCCAAGACTTCAACTCCTTGTGCCACAAGGGAGGCCCCTAAAGTTAGAGCAATTTTAATATCTGGTAATATAACATCAGTATTCTGCAGTGTTACTGTGTTTATAGTCTGTGACTATTCTAAGTATATATTCCAGATGAGCCTTAGAATTATTTAATTTTAGGGGCCTCCCTGGTGGTACAGGCGGTTGAGTGCAATGCTGTGAAGCTGTCCACAGCCTCTGCAGGGCCGGTTCAATCCACGCCGGCCTCGGAGCAACCCACATGGCGAGCAGACCTCTCCTGCCTGGCCCGCTGCTCCCCTCAGCAGTGTGTTTCCTCAGTCTGCCTGTTCTGTTCCCCGCTCTGTCTCTGGTGAATCCTCTCACCCTCCTGCGCATCTGGCCTGTACCCCACTCTTGTATAAATAAAATAAATCTTTAAAAAAAATTGTTTAATTAAAAAAGTTGCCTCTATAAGTTGGATGAAATACTAAATCTGGAAAACAGCATGGTCATAGGTCCCAAAGGGCCCCGTGTATCTCAACACTTACTCCAGGCACATCTCTCTGTCATTTCTATCATGCACAGTTTTTTTCCCTCATATAATTTTTTTTTTTTTTTTTTGGGGACCCTTGCTGGCGGCCGGGGAACGAACCAGCACTGCAGAGGCTGCAGGCAGCCTCGCAGCCCAGCACTCAACCGCTGCGCCACCAGGGGAGGCCCTCCCTCATATAATTTAAAAAGTTGAGATATGTCACATGTCATAAAATTTACCATCTTTAAAATTGCACAGTTCAGTGGTTAGTATAGTCACAAAGCTGTGTAGCCATCGCCATCAAATTCCAGAACATTCTATCACCCCCAAAAGAATGCTCCTCTCCATCAGTGGTCACTCCCCCTCCCAGCCCCTGTCAAACACAAATTTCTCTGTTTCTGTGGATTTGTCTGTTGTGCACATTTCATATCTGCACATTTCATTTAATTCTTAGCTATTTTTGGTTGTTGCTATGAATGAGATTTTTTTCCATGATGTCTTTTTTCCGTTGTACTTTCTAAATAGCTATGTCTGCTTTATTTGGGAAATATTTCAATTTTGTTCTTGACTTCTTTACTGAAAATTCAGTTGATTCTCCTGCATCTTCTAGGCAGAGACTCACATTTGCAGATGATGATAACTGAGTATATTCATTATTTATGGCCAGAATCAGTAGATATTGTTTCATAAATAATGATAGTTAGCAAACTTAAGGTCAGTATGTTTACACACACACAGAAAACAGTAAGAAATTAATATTTTAAAGCATAACACAAGATCAAAAGCCATAAAATCAAATGCAGCATTTAGGAATCTGGGTTGGCTACATGAAGCCCACTGCCTGTTTTTGTAAATAAAGTTTTATTGGCACAGAGCTGTGCTTACTTATTTGCATATTGCAATGAGATCCCTTGGAACTATCCACTATCGACCTTTACAGAAAAAAATTACCAGCCCTCCAATGGAGAAACACTAATTCTCATGTATACAAAGGGCCCCACATAGGGATAAAACCAAAATGTCATGTTTTCTTCTTTTCAAACAGACATGGACCAAGCAGTGTTGGAGCAACTCTGGGTGATTGACACAATCCTAATGCTACACATCTTAGGCTTTGTGAGTCATATCCCAGCAAAGCTGCTATTAGAAAGGCAGGGAATGGCCCAAAGTAGATTAGGCAAAGTTACACAGAATTCAAGCAAGCCATGAGCATGCAGCGCTGCCACATTCCAGGGACAAAGGATACTTATTTTGATCAAATTTATGCACTGAAATACATGAAATTAAATAGAAATTTAGGGAAAATATGGTAAATTTTTTCAAATTTCAGGTATTCATTAATCAGTGTCAATCCCAATACCATGATTCTGTGCATTGAGAAGGGAATTATTTCCTGGTTAGGTAGAAAATTGTGCGGATGGCTTCTGGAAGACCTATGTCTACACAGCGTTATAGAGACTTTTTGACTTATGGATAGAAGAACTGGGGTGGAGGCCAGAGGTGCAGGGGTGAGAGGATTCACCAGAGACAGAGTGGGGAGCAGAACAGGCAGATCCACTGAAATACACTGCTGAGGGGAACAGCGGGGAGACGTCTGCTGTGCCAGGTGGGTCAGCTCCCCGGCTAGGGATCAAATTCAGGATAATTTAAAAAGTTGAGATATGTCACCGAGATATGTCACTGACACTTAACCCCTAGGCCACAGGGGTTAAGGTCTTCCGCTGACCTTCCGATGCCACACCTGCTGGCCAGCCAGAGTGGGGAGGAGTCCAGTTCCTAGATAGTACTTGAGCTGTCAGCCCTTCTTTCCAAATTAAAGACAGCTGATGAGAACCAGCCAGCTGCGTCCCCACCTTCCCCTTGGGCCTCACATCCCCGGAGGGGAATTCTCCCTGGAAGACCTCTGGAAAACAGCCAGGAAACAGGTCTGGAGAGAAAGCCCAGAGCTGAGTGGAGCCATCCCAGCCTCTGTCCCATGAGCTCCTCATCCATCAGTCCAGTCACCAAGAGCCACCAAGGAGCCTTCTGCTCTGTGACAGGCCACTGCCACCACCTTTGGGAGCCACTTTTATTGACTTCCTCTGGCTTCCTCTGACTTTCTCTGTTTCATGTTTCTTTTTTCTGTTTAAATACCGGTGGTTTAAAACAGCACCCATTTGTCATCTCACGGTCTTGAAGGTCAGGAGTCCTGCATGGTACCATGAGGTAAACCCGGAGCTCCTCTGAAGCCCCAAGGACCCCCTCCTGCTTGTTCCAGCCTCTAGAGGCTCCGCATCCTAGACTCAGGCCCTTCCTCTGTCCTCACAGCCAGCAGCACAGGCTGCTGGCCCCAGAGGAGGGACAGACCCGTGGGGAGGCTTCCTGCTACTCTGGGGTTCTCGGGGGAGCATGGAGGCCCAGGGTCTCAGCAGGCTGGGTGCCCATGGCCTACCCGTCCAGAGCCAGCCCCCTCTGCCCATGGCCTGCCCCTAAGCAGGAAAGCCTGATTCTAGAAGAACTGAAGACCACGGTACAGGAGAAACATGCCCAGCCTCAAGCCTGGGGGTTCATGCTCAACCCTCCAGTCACTCCTGAAGGATCAGCAATGGGGGGGAGGGAGCTGGACAACAATGTTTAAAATTGGTTTTTTTCATGTTTATTTTGTTCTTTTTTTTCTAAAGATTTATTTATACAAGAATCAGGGTACAGGCCAGATGCGCGGGAGAGTGAGAAGATTCAGAGTGGGGAACAGAATAGGCAGATTGACTGAAAGACACTGCTGAGGGGAGCAGTGGGGAGACCAGAAAGGTCTGCCGCGCCATGTGGGTATCTTGCCGGCCGGCTGGGATCAAACCCACACTGCAGCAGCTGGCTGTTTCTGCACTCAACCGCCTGTGCCACCAGAGAGGCCCTTCATGTTTATTTTGGATCAGTTTCAGACTTAACAAAAAAGTTGCAAAAATTGTACCTAGGGTTTCCTATGAGCCCCATCCAATTTCCCCCAACATTAACATCTTATTTGGCCAGAAGCAAAGATCAAAGAACACTCCACTTAGTGGGGTCCAAGGGTGCTGGGGTGGACAGAGGGACAGACACAAGGTCACCAAGGAGAGGCTGGGTCCATATCCCAATAGCCAACTTACCCCAGAGCTTGCCACAGACCCTGGACCCTTCTTCCATTGTGCCCCTCACTTCCCCAAAACTCTAGGCCTGCCTCCCTCCAGATGCAGCCCTATTGTTGAGGCCAGCCTTGGCAGGGCCCTGGCCTTTGGCAACTGCACTTCCAAAGGGCCACCCCTGGGAGCACTCCAGGCTTGGGGCAGAGGATGCAAGTGAATGGTATGGAGTCACTTCTATTGCTGCCCGCACTCAGGATCTGTCAGTATGTCTTGCCTGATTTATGTTTTACTTCCTGGGCCAGCTGAGAGTAGACATTGTAAAAGGGTAATCCTCAGGGAAAGGGAGGTTCCAGGTTCCTTGCCCCACCCAAGAAGGGTGGAGCTGAGCCAGGAAGAGAAGCTGGAGAGGACAGGGAGAAGGAAGGAGGGAAATCAGGGAGACCTGAGGAGGCCCATGGAGCAGAGACAGATGAAGAAGCCATGTTTGCTTCTCAGCCTTGGACTTGGACTTGTAGCAGGGACTTGGGGGACATGGAAAGAGACACTTTAAAGAGACGTGGGTGAGAGACCCGTGGGGAGGCTGACAATGGCAGCCTTTACCTTGACTTGTGTTTTGATTATGCTCCTTTGGACCCAGACTTGCCTGGCCTCTTCTGCCCTTTTCCACTAGAGGTGCCTTAGACTTGTGGCAGGCTTTTGGGCCTCAGCTGCCCTGCTTTGGGTCAATTCTCTTTGGCTGGGCATTTATGCATGAGGGCATGGGCAACTTTGGGTGCTTCATTTCAAAACTATTTTAACTGTATTCTTTCTCTTATCTTTATTGCACACTAAATATATCAAAGTTATTTTCTATTGAAGATCTTACGCACTAAGCATATGTCTGTCTTTATGCGGTGGGTGGGCAGAACCTATTTAAACCAGGCAGGTTTATGGGCCTCCCCGGTGGCGCAGCGGTTGAGAGCTGGGTTGCGAAGCTGCCCACAGCCTCTGCGGCGCCGGTTCGTTCCCCGGCTGCTCCCCGGCCACCGGAGGAGGGTCCCACATGGCGCGCAGACCTCTCCTGCCGCCCGCTGCTCCCCTCAGCAGTGTACTTCGGTCCTTCTGCCTGCTCTGCTCCCCGCTCTGGCTCTGGTGAATCCTCTCACCCTCCCGCGCTTCTGACTGTACCCAGTGCTTGTATAAATAAATAAAAATAAATCTTTAAAAAAAAAAAAAAATAAATAAAGCAGGCAGGTTTGGGGGTCCTGAGGTGCCCCTCACCCTACCATTAAGAGACAGAAGGGCCATCCAGGGTGGTGGGACATTGAGGCTGAGATTGCGGCCCACCCCGCGCCCCCCACCAAGTCCACAGGGACCAGAATACCACCACTCCTCTCTGCTTTCAGCGGGAGGGGCAGAGGGTCAGTGGGGATAGTGCCCAGGCGTTGAAAAGGAGACCCCCAAGGAGCAGCCAGCCTCCCAGGCCCTCCAAAGAAGGGGCTGTGGTAAGGGACATTTCCCGGCTCTGGGGAAGAGGTGTGGGCCCGGGGATTTGGGCCTGGGATCAAATCCACGGTGGGCTTCTAGGAGGAGCTGGGTGGGGGCGGGGGGCGGGGAGCGCAAGCCCAGGCCTGGGAGTGTGGAAAGTGCTGCACGGTGCGCGGATCGGGGGCACACTCTGCCCGAGCATAAATGCAGGGGTACCTCTGCGGCGAGCCGAGGGCTCTGGATGCGCCAACCACTCGCCCCTGCTACGCGATCCGCGGGAAAGTTCGGGAAAAGCCAAGCTCAGGCCCGCGCCCTCGGGCCAGAACCCCGAGGCCAGCAGAGAGCAGACTGGCCCGCGCGGTCCCCTCGGAGGGGGCGCCCCCACCCCGCCCCGGCGCGGCCCCGACAACAACAGCCGCATTGGCCGAGCGTCGCCGCCGCCGCGCCCCGCGCTCGCCTCTGGCTTCCCGCTGGCCGCGCGCCCGGGGCCGCCTCCCACGCGCCGCGCCCGGGCGCCGCGCCGGCTCCGCTGACGCAACGTGTTGCCAGGACAACCGCTCGGCCGGGCCGGGGCTCCCGCGCCCTCCCCCCGCCGCCCGAGCCCGAGTCAGGGCGCAGGCGCGGCCGCGCGGGCTCCCCGGGCCGGAGCCACCCGCCACCCCAGGGCGGCCGGGGCGGGGGGCGCCCCGCGAGACTGCGGCGCGGGCGTGAGGAGGAGGCGCCCCGCGTCGGCACGTTGGGCTGATGGCGGCGCCGCCGGCGTCCAGCTGCCGAGGGCGGGGGGGGGGCGGGGGGGACTGCGCGGCGCCGTGACGTGCCGCAGCGTCACCAAACCCGCCCCGGGAGCGGCGCCCCTGCCGGCCGGCGCCGCGGGCCCGAGCTCCCCGCCACCGGCCCCAGGGGCCCTGGAGCGGAAGCCCAGGTTCACCTCAGGTGGCTGCAGTAGCCGCACTTGGCTCGTCTACAAAATGGAGACCTCGATATGCGGAGGGGGCAGTGCCTGGGTGACCCTCCTGGGGCTGCTGTACCCGCCGATCAGACAGGGCCTTAAAATGAGGGGCGTTTATTATCTCAGTCCTGGAGGCAGGAGTCCAGCCTGGTCTAGGGCTACACCCTCGTGGAGCAGGCCCCGGGGTCCTGCCTTTCCAGTTTCTAGAGGTGCCACATCTGCACTCAGGCCCTTCCTCCATCCTCACGGCCTGTAGTGCAGCCTCCCCGCTTCTCTTTTTCTCTGACCCTGGTTCCTCTTATAAAGGACCAGGGGAGGGCACTAGGGCCCCCAAGGAATCCAGGGTCCTCCCTGATCTCAGAGTCCATGATCTCATCTGCAAAGTCCCTTTTGCCAAGTGAGTACACATACCCGAAGACAGGTCGTGGGGATGCAGACTAGGGTGTTCTTAAGGTGCTTACCCTGCCAGCCCCAGGACCTGACAGGCTTCTGTAGCTTGGAGGCAGCACTGACCTCTGCCGCAGAGGAGCGGGACATTTAGAACTCAGTGACATTCCAGGCCTGAAGCCTGGGCTGGGAGGCAGCCTCTGAGCCAGGCCTGGAGCAGGCAATAGAGAGAGGCCCTGGCCTGCTGTTTGAGGGTGGTGGGGATTTCCCCCTATGGGCCTCTCTTTCCCTGCTCCTGACACACATCCAGCCAAGCCCAGCCCTTCCTCTGTGTCCCCCCATGGCTGTGCCCCCTCCCAGCACCTGCACACAAGCCCTGAAAGCCTCCCGACCTCCTAAAAGCTTGGAGCCCCTGTACATGCTGCCCCAGGTCACTGTTGGGGGGCAGGTCATCTGGGAGTGAGACACCTGGCTCTCCCAAGAGTCACCTGGGTGTCCAGGTGGAGAGGAAGCAAGATGCCAGCCAAGTGCCCCAACCTCAGTTACTGTGACAGGGTGGTGCCTTCAGTCTCTGCTGGGCCAGCTTGCCTCCTGCCCTCCCTTGGGGACTTTCAGCGACTGGCCCCTGTGAGTCAGCACTACCCTTGCCACAGCAGGCAGTTCTCACAGTTGCTGAGATGCCCACAGCTGGGCAGCTGAGGAGCCTGAAAACACCCATCCAACTTTCCCTTTGCCCTATTCCCCCTACCCCCACCAAGGACAGCTGCCCTGGCTCCCTCCCCAGCACTGCCAAGGCCCTGGAGTGGAGCAAGCCATGAGTCAGCCAGCAGGAAGGGGCACTTACGGCCACTTGCATCAGATGTTTCTGAGGCCCCAGGCCTAAGGGGCCCCAACAGGAACACTGTGACCCTCACTTATCTGGGGAACTCCTGGGCTTGTGGTTCTGTCCCTGGGGGGACAGGAAGGCAGAGGGTGCTGCCCAGGCTAGGTGCCAACTCAGAACTCTGACTCCACTTGCCCCTTATACCCAAAACACAGGTAAACATCCTGATCTTAACCCAGAAGCTGCACTTCGCACTCCAGCTTCATGCTATAGCGGCAGCCCCGCACCCCTCTTAAAACTCGGGTGCCCACCTCTGCACAGGGTTGGAGATGCCCACGAAAGCACAGGCTTGGGAGGATGTCCCAGCACCAGCACCATGGCCCACGGAAAGGCTGTGGTTGTCACACAGCATGGAAGTGGGTCAAGTGGGACTGGAATCCTGCTCAGCACCTTGCAGTGCCCAGGACTGCCCCTCCACCCCATGACCACAATGCTGAGGGGGGGCCTGGGTGGAAAGACCCCGGAGGCAGTGTCTATCTTCTACTGCAGAATCTTCTTTTTCCCCAGCTGCAGCATGGATCCTATGAGGGGGCCCACCTGATCAGGCTGTACAGATAGCACTCCTCTGAGCAGTGCCTGGTGTTGTGCTTGGCTTCTAACACTGGGAACAAATCTGCTCCCACACCCTGGGCTCTCTCCAATCAGGATGCCCAGTATGTGGGCCTGGCCCTGTCTGGAAGGCTAGCACAGGGTGAGATCTCAGGTTAGTTTGTCCCGAGGTCAGAGCCACTGGCGAACCCAGAGGAGCCCACACAAGGGTAGACTGCAGTCAACCTCTGTACCTGGAGACAGATGCACAAGGGCTACGGGGCAGAAAAGACGTCCAGACGCTTGTGAGTTGGGTTTTCCAGAAAGATAGGTCTGTGTCCCAACCCCCAGAAACTGTAAATGTGCCATTAGTTGGAAATAGGGTCTTTGCAGATGGGTTAAGATGAGATGTTATTGGAGTGGGGTGAACTCAGAGGACAGGAGAGACACAGAGATAAAGGGAATACCGAAGGCTACGTGAAGACTGAGGCAGAGACTGGGTGATGCATCTACAAGTCCAAGGATGCCAAGGATTGCTGGCTACACTAGAAGCTGGAAGAGACAGTAAGAATCCTCCTGTGGAGCTTTTGGAGAGGGTATAGCCCTGGACACCTTAATCTCAGACCAGGGGCCTCCAGAACCTTGAGAGAATAACTTCTTGTTTTAATCCAGTGTGTGGCACCTTGTTACAGCGGCTCCAGGAAGCTTATGCACTTCTACAGCCCCTACATGCAGATACACAGGCATGTGCATGCAAGCATGCTCAAACACACCCTTTCTTTTCTGCAGTTATCAGGTGAACATTCCTGTATGTGGTCCTGTGCTGGGCACTTGATGGGCAGTGGTCAGATCGATGCTCTTGAGAAACTGATGTTCTGGGGAGGACTGTGGTCCATGTGTGCTTGCCCATGCTACCAGAAGTGCCCAAAGAAGAGACTGCATACACAGGAGAGGCAGGAGTGGGAAGGGACAGCTCCCTGAGGACAGGGGTAGGAAGCACGAGGAAAGACCAGGAGACTTCCCCTGGGCAGGCCTGGCAGCCAATGTCCTCTTCCCCTTCCACGGTCTCCAGGCACCTGGGCCCAACCTGTGTGTCGAGGTGTGTACCTGCATGCTACACACAGAGCAGGGGGAGAGCTGGGGGCTGATTGGGAGCTCCAAAAGCTCAGGGGCAGGGTTTTGTTAGGGGGAAAAGGATGTCCCAAAGCAAATTTCATATAGGCTTTGTGAACTCCACCCCCACCCCAGGTCAAAGCCAAAGACACTGGGAACTCCAAATCCCATCACCACCAAAGGGAAGGTGGCTGGGACCTGAGGGTGGGGTTAAGCAGCCAGGTGGATACAAAAGGCAGACACGTGGGCTGTGGGGATCCCCCATTTTGGCTCTCCACCAGCTCGCAGCGTCTGGCCAGCTCGGAGAGTGACTTTGGGTTTCCAGGTCGTCGGATCGGGTAGGACGCATTAAAGACTTTATTTTCCTATTTTCTCCCTGAGTTGTACATTTTCCTTATTTCCTTTTTTCTTGTAAATAAACCTTTTATTAACCCTTTTGTGTGTGTCTGTAGTGGAGTATTCATAAGTCCCTTTAAAGCGCGCGGGTGAGGACCCACAGCCAGGAACCCGTTCAATATCGGGGTTGCTCTATAACAGTTTGGCTGGGGTTAGGACTTGCAACGCCTTTGGAGAATGGGGGAGGGGAGTCCTTCACAGTCCCAACCCCTAAACTGGTCACCTTTCCTTGCTAATGAAGGGGGTAACCCCTGGGGAGCTCCTTGGTTGAGGCGGCCAGTTCCTCCCATCTTGGGATGTGAGTTGGACAGCTGCGCAAGGGTGGCAGTTGCAAGAAGGAACCACAGCAGGTTCTAAAAATAAAGCAAGAGCATCGCCTTAAGGAGGCAATGTAACCTTGGCCCTAGCCTATAGACGGGGGGACTTGCCAGAAGGTAGGGCCTGGCTCCGGATCCGAATCCCTCAGACCTCCCAGAGCCCGGAGCGCCCGAGCAGATGGAGCCCCACCCACCAGCGGAGATCCCGCCCACGGCCCGGGGCCAGAACCTGGCGCCCCGGTCTGCGCAGGCGCGCAGTTGTACCCGCGACCCCAATGCGCAGCCGCATTCGGCGCCCGGAGCGTCCTTCTAGCTCCGCCCCCGCCGTGCGCGTCTGGGCGGGGACAGGGGCGGGGCCTGCGTCGGGGCGGGGCCTGGGGGCCGGGCCCATAAAGGCGGTGGCTGCTCTGCGCGCCCCGCTCCTTTCGGCGGCGGTGCCCAGGCCGAGGTGTCCGCGGCGGCGGCGGCGCTGCTGTTCCCAGCGCGGTACGCGCTGCGGGATCCGGGCTTCGCGTGTCGGCCGGCGGCGGCGGCACTGCGGCCCCGTGGCCCCTGCCGGAGCCGGAGCCGACCCCGGTGAGTGCGACTTGGCGTCCTCGGCCCGGTCCTGACCCAGGCGCGCGGATCCGGTCCAGCGGAGCCATCGCCTCCCCGGCCCGGCCTCCCGGCGGCCGGGCCACGATCACTCACGCCCTCCTTTGTCTGCTCCCGCCCGCAGGGTCCCCTCCCCGGCCGCCCCCCGCCCCCGGGCCGCCCCCCTCGGCCCCGCGTCCCCTCCCCCGCTGGCGGGGCCCGGACAGAAGATGGTGCAGAAGAAAACAACCGAACTTCAGGGCTTTCACCGTTCGTTCAAGGTGAGGGCCGGGGTCGGTTTTGGGGGAGCCTGGGCTAGACCACCGGGTTGGGGGCCGAGGAGGTGGCAGAGCCGACCCCAGGATTCCCTCAGGGTTCGTGCCTGTCCCCCTCCGTCCCCCCACCCGCCCCGTGTCGCGGGCTGCCCAAGCTGGATGGGTGCCTGTGAGGGTGAGCTTTGGGCACCGTCCTAACCAGCGCCGTGGGGCCTGTGGGGTCCTTCCTCTGGGAATCCCAGGCGGGGTTGGGAGCCCCTCTGTCCATGGGGGGTCGGGGGCTGGCGGCGTGGCCCCTGCAAGCCTCAGGCAGGTGTGCACCTTTGGGGAGCAGTCCTGTTCCCAGTGCTATGGGGCCGGTGGGGTCCTTCCTACAGAAATTTCAGGCAGATCTGGAAGGCCCTGCATGCCCGCCTAGGCGGTTTGCAGGCTGGGGGAGTGGATTGCATGCCCTGCAACCCTGCACCTCCCAGATACCCCAGGCCCTAGTGCTATTTCCTGTTGCAGTTGGAAGTTTCTGCAGTGGCCCACAATGTCTGTGGTACTGAGTTCTGGTCTCATGAGCAAGTCTGGTGGGGATGGGGGGGTATGGGCAGGGGCCCCAAGGGGCCTGGCCCAGGGGACACAGTGATGTCAGCGGCCGCCCCACCCCACCGACCTGATTATGTAATGGTTTCCCTGGGCCTCCTTGGGCAAGGACCTGTTGCCCTGTAGAGAAGTCAGGACTTGGGTGTGTGTGTGTGCGTGTGTGTGTGTGTGTGTGTGCGTGTGTGTGCGTGTGTGTGTGTGTTGTGTGTGTGTGTCTACTGGCAGGCTGTGCACCAGGATGGGAGGAGCTAGCTGAGACTGTTTGGGTTAGAATTCCCAGGCCAGTCCAGCCAGCTTCCCGAGTCAGCTGCCCCACCCCTACCCACACGCCTGTCATCCTCACCCCCCCTCCCCCGCCCCACTCAGGGCAGCCGCAGCCTTGGCATGAAGTATGGGGGGCTGGGTGGGAGGGGGTGGGCCTGAGATGTCACCAGTGATGGTCTTTCCCCTCCTGGGGCTGGGTGGGAGCTGAGACAGGGTCAGCGTGAGGGGTTAGCCTGGCTGCCAAAGCAAACTCGAACTTTCTGGATGGTTCCAGCTGCTTCCTGCCAAGGCCTGCTGACTGGAGGCCCACAGCCAGCCCCAGCCTGCCCGCCCACTCTGTTCAGGACTGCAGGTTGGCCACTGCAGGCTGTTGGACAATCCTGTGCCAAAGTGGGACACTAGGAGTCCAAGGGAGTGTGAGGGGCCCTAGTCGGGAGTCCTGGCTCTGGTGGCCAGGCAAGGCCAACTGCTCCAGGAGTCTCTTCTCACTACATTGGAGTTGCTCCCTCTGCCCGGGCTGCCCCTCCTGAAATACCCCTCCCTCTTCCTGGCAGCTGTGGTGGGGAGACTCATCTGCAGGTGTCTTTGATGTGATGTGTCTTCTCCATTTAAAGACAGGACGTTGGAGGCTCAGAAAGAGCCGGTAGCTGTCCGCTAGTGGTAACTAGAACACGGGGTAGCCATGCCTAGTGTTCTTTCACCTATGTGGCTCCGACCACCCCGTCTGTCTCCAGGGTTTAGTGCTTGAGTGCCCGGGTCCTCCCTCACTCATTCCCAGTGGTTGGACACATGTAAGGTGGCCCTGTTGTGGGCCTCATCTAGAGAGAAAACCAGCTCAGAAGGATTCTGAATTGTCAGAGCCATCACTGGCCCCTGACCCCAGTGCATCTACCTTCCCTCCTAGTCACCTCCTTATGTGGGATCTCTCCCAGATGGAAGTCACCCTGCCCTCTGGATGGGGCCTGTCAGAGTGTTGATTGCCACCAAGGGCGTGTGCCTGACTCCACTGAGGCAGAAGCTGGCTGGAGTGCCCCTTCCTCCCCCTTCCATGCTGTCCTGCTCTCCTAGCAGCTATCAATGGGGGCGGGGGGGGGGGAGTAGAGACCAGGAGGGCCAGGGCCTGTTTTGCAGCATTGCCCTCTGACCTCCACCTGCCCCTCTGCAGCTGGCTGGGCTTCTGTGCCTCCATCTGCAGGAATCTGTTCTGGGCCCCTTCGGGTCTCCCTAAGGCTTTCTCTGACTTCCTTCTGTGCTGGATGAGACTCCTGTCCCAGCTGTCCCGTGGCTTAGAGAGGAGCAGGCTTGGTCACTAGTGTGTACAGGCCCACCATGCCCTGCCCACCGGCTTCCCTGTGGGGAGGCCAACTTCTAAAGGAACTTCGTCTGGCCTCAGTTTACCAGCTTTAGGGACCTCACATTGGGTCATCTGCTCTGCAAAAAAGCATTCTAGCTCCCTCCTGCTCACAGCGCAGGAAACATGTCTCCAGTCCCTGGCTTCCTTTGTTCTCTGGTCAGGATCTCATGTCTTCTCCCTAGGCTTGGGGGCCAAAGTGATCAGGCGCTCCCACAAAAGCCTCTGAGGGGCTCCCTCCTGGGAGTGTTGGGGCTGAAATGGGACAGTGCCGACTGGCCTGGGCAGAGGGCAGCCTGCGTTCATGTATTTCACTACTACCTGTGGGTGACCCTGGGTGTGGGGGGAGGAAGGAGGTCTGATCCCGTCACCAGTAGGGTCCTGGAAGCAGATGGGTCAGGACTGGACCTGGAGAAGATGGGGTAGTTGCTTCAGAGCATTGGTTGCACAGAGCATTGGGAGGCGAGGGAGTGACAGGGAGCTAGGCATGGTGTGGCAGTGGGACCAAGAGGATGGCCCAGGAGCAGTGGGGGCCATGGGGCCAGGACAATTAAGGAGGGTGGAACCCTCTGTCTTGGAGGGGAAATTGAGGCCAGAAAGACAAGGACTTTCCCAGGTAGGGCTGAGCCCAGGAGGCCATGGGAAAGCCGGCAGGGCTGCTTGGCTGGGAACCCCACTTGGGGAAGCCAGTGAGTCACCCCCTCCCACTGTCTGTCCTGTGCCTTTCATCTCCATGCTAGACGGAGGTCAGCTGGGCTGGAGGCTCTCCCCATTCTACAGGTGAGGAAGCTGAGGCGCAGGGTGTGGCTGGGTCCCATGGTGACTCAGCCCTGGCATCAGACAGCCCCCATCCCCACTCTGCTGTCCCTTCCTGCAGGCCCCATAGGGCTGCCCTTTGGAGACAGGGCCTGATTGCTCTCCTTTCTCCCCTACAGGGGCAGAATCCTTTCGAGCTGGCCTTCTCTCTAGACCAGGCCCACCACGGGGACACCGACTTCAGCCTGGAGTGCACAGCTCGCCCTGGTGAGGGACTGGGAGGGTGGGCACACATCCCGGTGGGGGGGAGCAGTGGGGGAGACTCACCCCAAATCTCCTTCACAGATATGCCTGTGAGCCAGCCCATCGACATCCCAGATGCCAGGAAGAGGAGCAAGAAGAAGAAGCGCTGCCGGGCCACCGACAGCTTCTCGGGCAGGTTTGAAGGTGAGTGGGCAGCAGTAGAGAAATGGAGGCTGGCAGGGAGATGGGGCTCGCCCAGGGTGCTCTCATCGCCTGTCTTACTCTCCAGATGTCTACCAGCTGCAGGAAGATGTGCTGGGGGAGGGTGCCCATGCCCGGGTGCAGACCTGTGTCAACCTCATCACCAACCAGGAGTACGCAGTCAAGGTGAGCAGCTCGGGGTCGGGCTTTGGCGGGTGGCGGGAGGGGAAGCTGCCATTCGAGCTCCCTGATGGCAGCTGGGGAAAACCAGTGTCTAAAAATGGCCCCAGGGCTGGTGACTCAGGCCACCCCTGGGAATCCAGGTCAGCTGGGCTGAGCCCGAGTTCGGGCAGGAAGTGGCATCCCCCTGTAAAGGTGACTGAGCAGCCACACGAGCACAGGCTTTGGTCAGAACTGATGCTGGCAGTCTGGGTGACTTGAGCGGGCCCCAGGCCTCTGAGGATCATACTCTGGGTGGCAAGAGCTTCCCTGTCTTGGTTTCAGGGACTTAAAGGTGACCTTATACTGGATGTTCAGGAGGGTCTGCATTTGTGGAGACCACAGCAGGCGGTCCACAGAACCTCCTGCATGTTCCCCATGTGCCATATGACCCAGCCTGGGAGCCACGAGCCATAGACCCTACCTCCGAGAAACCTCCCAGGCTTCCCTAATGACCTGCGTCTATGCTGGGCGTGGTCACACGATGCTCCCTGCCCAGGAAGAAAAGCCAGGTACTCCCAGGCAAGCAGGCTGCCTGGAAGCCTTGGTCACTGGTGAAAGTCCAGGCCACTCCCCCTCCTTCAGACTGCCTACTTATGAGGTGATGGGGAGGAGGCACAGGAGAGCTGGCCACCCTATTTCAGCAGGATAGCTGACTTTGGGAAGTTAAGGGAGATGATCAGCTGCGGCAGTGACAAAGGTAGCTCTGGTCCCTGCCTCCTGGGAGCTTGAAGGTGGGATGGGGTGATGGTACAAAATTTGGATACTTCGCATCTAGCACTTTCTGTACCCTGGGCCCCCTCTGAGTGTCTCCTCCCAAGGACCCTGCTGGGCAGCCTAGCTTCCCATCAGTGACAGATGAGGGAACTGAAATTCAGCCTACATCACACTGTTGCCTACCCTTATGAGCTGCAGTCTCCTCTATGAAGTTGGAGCTCCAGCTAGATTCCCAGGGGACAGGATGAAGTTTAGTTTAATGCAGAAGGGCTGGGCTGCTCATGTTGTCTCAGGAGGCCCTGGAACCCGTTGTCTTTCTGCTCCTCTAAGGGACAGTGCACAAGGGGTGGCCCAGCACTGGCCGGAGGGACACACCACATCCCCTCTAGGCTGCTGCAGTGGGCAAGGTGATGACCCAGCCTACCCATGTCCAGTGGCTTGAGGGTCCAAGTGGGAAGAGGTTCCTGTGTGGAAGAGAGCTGGCAGTCACCTTCCCTCCCCATCTCTCTGAGCCAAGGTGGCTGAGGAAGCATCTGTAGGATGAACCCAGAACCCTCCCGTTTTGAGTGCCCAAGGGGGTTGGGGGCAGAGGTGTAAGCTGACTTCCTGAGGTTCTGGGCTGTGCCCACTTGTGGGCAGGGGCACCAACCTGAGGCCCCTCCAGCCCCCAGGGTGGTGTGGGGGCCACCACAGTGACCACCAATCCCCTGGTCAGGAAGGGGAGGCTCCCCGTCTGAGGGAACCTTGTGCTCTGGAGTGTTTTGCATTCATGGGTCTCCCCAGGTCCCAAATATGGCTCCAAGATCTGTCTGGGTAAGGGGACGAAGGTCCTGACTTCCTTCTGTCACCCTTCCTGTTCCACTCACCTTCCCCTGGTGCCCCTGATACATCGCCCACTGCTTGTGTGGTGTCACAGCTCTGACTTTTAGCAAGTCCTGGGACCCCACAGGAGAAGTCTGCTCTCCAGCTGGAAGCGCTACGGTCTAGCAGTCGCAGGCGTGGTGCAGGGAGTTTCTGGTGGGGGCTCCCCACACTGGGGAGTGTCTGACTGACCTAGATAATGTGTTCCCCACCCCCACCCCATTTCAGATCATTGAGAAGCAGCCAGGCCACATTCGGAGTAGGGTGTTTCGGGAGGTGGAGATGCTGTATCAATGCCAGGGACACAGGTAATGTGACCTGCCCTTGCCTCGGTACCAGCTAGAGCCATCCTCCCATGAACTAGTGGGCCTCATCCTCCAACAAGCATTTAGTGAGCACCCACTGCGTGCCAGGCTGGGTGCTGCCCATTAAGGGTGGGCCTGGAGGCAGGCAGTTCCAGGCAGGCTAGGAGGAGGCAGGCCTGTGGTCCCAAGGCCTGGCCTTCCTGTGGGCAGGTGGGGACGGCGAGGATAGAATAGAGCCCTCCTCACCTAGGTTGTGGGTGTTCAGCGACCTCAAAAAGCCTTATTCTTCTTCTACTTCACCCCCCGCCACCCAACCTCAGAAATGTTCTGGAATTGATCGAGTTCTTTGAGGAAGAGGACCGCTTCTACCTGGTGTTTGAGAAGATGCGGGGCGGTATGTGGCGTCTGGGAGACAACTCCAGCTGAATCCTAATAGAGTGGGGCTCAGGGCCACCCAGGAGAAGACCTTGCAGAGGGTTGGAAGGGGGTTTGTGGTGTCGGAGCACCCTGTCCACACTGAAGCTCTGGCTCCCAGGAGACCAGAGTGCGGCTTGTCTGCCTGCGTGGGGCTAGGCGCCAGGTGCTGGACGGTGGCCTGGGGACGTGGAGGTTGCCCCTAACGTTCTCCTCCACCACGTCCACCAGGCTCCATTCTGAGCCACATCCACAAGCGGCGGCACTTTAACGAGCTGGAGGCCAGCGTGGTCGTGCAGGACGTGGCCAGCGCCTTGGACTTCCTCCATAACAAAGGTGGGTGGTGGGGCTGGCCTGCAGGGCTGCCTGCCTCTGGTCCTTCTTGCCCACGGGTGTTCTCTCTGACCTGTCAGCCTGCCCAGGACTCCTGGGAGGTGCACCCAACCCCACGCTTCCTCACTCCTGATTTCTCCACAGGCATCGCCCACAGGGACCTAAAGCCCGAAAACATCCTATGTGAACATCCCAACCAGGTGAGGGGCCCTGCTGGGGTGCGGTCTCCCCAGGGTGCAAGGCGGGTGGGGCCGGTACAGGCTGGACCAGGACCCACCTCACTGCCCACCCCACTCTACAGGTCTCCCCTGTGAAAATCTGCGACTTTGACCTGGGCAGCGGCATCAAGCTCAACGGAGACTGCTCCCCCATCTCAACCCCGGAGCTGCTCACCCCGGTGAGGGCTCCGCGGGCCAGAGGCACCCCGGCGGCGTGCAGGGGGGAGCTGGGAGGGAACTGAGGGGACGGACTCCTGGCTCCGTTCCAGCCGCCTATCCTCAAGGTGCGGGGGAGGGGCAAGGGGCCGGGCCGGAGGCTGGGCTTCCGCCTAGCAACAGTCGCTGATTGGCCGGGCGGGCTCACGGCACCTGCCGCTGATTGGGCCGGGGGCGGGGCGGGGCCGCGGTCAGGCGGGGGCGGGGCTGGCTCCTTCGGCAGCCTGTGATTGGCGGGGCCGGGACGTCAGGCGCTGCGGGCTCTGACCGCGAGTGAGGGCGCGGGCGCGTCACGTGCAGCCGCCGCGCCGGGCCTGATGCCGCCCCGCCCCGCCCCGCCCCGCCCCGCCCCGCCCGCAGTGCGGCTCCGCCGAGTACATGGCCCCCGAGGTGGTGGAGGCCTTCAGCGAGGAGGCCAGCATCTATGACAAGCGCTGCGACCTCTGGAGCCTGGGCGTCATCCTCTACATCCTGCTCAGCGGTTATCCCCCCTTCGTGGGCCACTGCGGCAGCGACTGCGGCTGGGACCGCGGCGAGGCCTGCCCCGCCTGCCAGGTGCCGGCCCCACCCATTTCCCCTCTCCTCGCCCCCCCCCAGCACGCCCCTTCCGGGGCGTGCTCTGCCCCATGTTCCCTGCCCCGCTCTGTGTGCCCCCACCCCCAGGCTCGCCCAGGGCACCTTTCCCCATGTGCACCCCTCCTTCGGGGCATGACTCCCCCCCCTCCGTGAGGCCCCACGTGCACCCACTCCACACACCCCCTGAGGCGGCCTCCTGCGTGCATGCACACAACACACCCTTCCTGTCCCTCGGCTTCTGGCCCACATATCTCCCTGTATACTTTCATACCTGCCAGGTGCACCCCAAGACAGAGCTGTGCCACCTCTAGGGCCTGGCCCCTGATCTCTGACCATATTAAGGGCAATGCAAGTCTGACCTATATGGGTTCCTAGAGGTTCTTTGAGTTACCTGGTCCACAGAAGACAAGCATTCAGAGGTCAGGAAACTGAAGTGGGGCAAAATCCATGGTTTGGGGTGACCAGGTTCCAGACTTCTGCCCAAGGCAGCTGTCCCTTTGTAAATTGGTTCGGGCAGAGCCTACTGAGCGCCTAGGTATTCTGGGCCTGAGATGCATGTTTCTCTCTAGACTGCCGTCCACCCTGTGTCGGAGGCCAGCCCAAAACTCTCGTGTTTGAACCCCTGGTCATAAATCAGAGCCTTGGAGTTCAGTCTGGGGCCACTGATGGAGTTTGTCTCAACGCTCCCATATCTAGGCCTAGGTTTGCCCATTAGGTATCAGGAACCTGACCTAGACCCTTGCAGTTGGTGACCACCTTCCCCCATGCCCACAGAACATGTTGTTTGAGAGCATCCAGGAGGGCAAGTATGAGTTTCCCGAGAAGGACTGGGCCCACATCTCCTTTGCTGCCAAAGATCTCATCTCAAAGCTCCTCGTCCGTGACGCCAAGCAGAGGCTGAGTGCTGCACAGGTCCTGCAGCACCCCTGGGTGCAGGGGGTGAGTGCCAGCCCCTTGGGACCAGGAGGCCATAGGCCAACCTCCATCCAGTCTCCAGTGGGCTTGGAAGGTTATTCTGAGCAAACGTATGAGAACCCTTGGGGTGCCCAAGACGCATTGTGGGTCTGGAGGTCAGTCCTGGACACGCCTAGACCCTGAAGGGCCAAGGCATTAAGTCCCCACTGCCTACCATGAGCCTGCTGGCCAGGCAGGGGTGGGGACTGTGGGGGATTGGCCACAGACTCGCAGGAGATTGGCCATCTTAGATGCAGCAGTGCACTGAGGTCAGCCAGGTGGCAGCCGGGAAGGAGCTTCAGGCAGGGCAGTGTCCCCCAGCAGGGTAGATTTGCAGCCCGCCAGCCCATCCAGGCCCAACTCCAAGAGACTGGCATTTGTCTGCCAATGGCGTCTGAGCTGAGCTGCTCCCGGAAGGGGATTCACAAAAAATAGAAAGTGGCACAGGGGGCCTGGAGAAAAGGTTCCCGCGCTTTCCACCCTGCCCGGAAGAGTCAGGGGCCTGGGGATGGGATTGGAGAGGAGCACAGCTGGGCTCTGCAGCGCTCCCACCCTCAGCCTGCGTCATGGCAGCACCTGTGCCCCCTTAACTTTGGTGTCCCAGAGCCTGCTGGGATCAGGAGGTTAATTCGGGTCGGCAGCCCCCAGGATCTGCTCTCTAGCCCACATCTCTCGTCTCCTTGCAGTGTGCCCCTGAGAACACCCTGCCCACACCCATGGTCCTGCAGAGGTGAGAAATGTGTGGGGACCCCGGAGTCCGGGATGGGGGTTGAGGTTTTAAAAAGACAATCAGGTCTCTCTAAGTGGAGGAGACATCCGTCCCAGCACTTAGGTGCCTCGTGCCGGGTGATGATTTGTTCCCAGGGGCTGGGGTGTCCCTAGGGAAGCGGGGGATGTACCCGGCAGCTGCCCTCCCCTCCTGGTGATCGCCCCTGCCTGTTGCCAGGAACAGCTGTGCCAAAGACCTCACATCTTTTGCGGCCGAGGCCATCGCCATGAACCGGCAGCTGGCCCAGCGAGAGGAGGACGCGGCCGAGGAGGCCGGGCAGGGCCAGCCCGTGGTCATCCGAGCTACCTCACGCTGCCTGCAGCTGTCCCCGCCCTCCCAGTCCAAGTTAGCCCAGCGCCGGCTGCAGCAGCAGCGTGCCAGCCTGTCTGCTGCCCCCATGGTCCTGGTGGGGGACCACGTGTGACCCCCTCCCTCTCCTCTGTACATAGGTCCCCCTACCCCACCGTCAAATCTAAAGATTTTTTTAAGCTATTGCCAGCCGGTGAAGAGCGGCTGCCCTCCCTGAACACCCCTCCCCTGCTGGGTTTCTAGGTATGAAGCTCAGCTGGGGTTGGTTTTATATAAGGTTTTTGCTGTTGGGTTTTTTTCCCTGTTTTTCTGTCCCCCTGCCCCTTTTTTCCCCCTTTTTTACTCTGTTAGAAACAAAGCAGGCGCCCTGGAGGAGAGCGGAGGGTGTGTGTGGCTGGGTTTGCCCCCTCCCTGCTGCCCCAGCCCCAGATGCTCATCTGTTACTGTGAAAGCCCCCCCACCCCACCCCAGCTGGGACTCAGGAGGGGAGGGCTTTGCTGTCTTCCAGAGCTGGGGTGTCCTTCCCAGTGCTCCCGTGTTTTCAGGGATGGCTGTCCATGCTTCCTTTCATCCCTCACCCCAAAGATGCCCTGGTGGCTTGGTGGAGGGCTGGGACCCCTTGGGTCCCTCTTGTCACAAGAGAGGGAGAGGCATGGGCACCGGCAGGCGGGATAGACAGATGCCCACCAGGTACCCCACCCCCCACCCCTGCTGTCTCTGTCCTAATGAGACTGACAATCGGGGCTTCCTTGAACCTTGACCTTAAACTGCAGCTGTTGCTGGGGGGCACACCCCTGCCTCTACCCTCCCCGCCAGGGACTCTGTCCATCCAGGAGGGTGGCACCAGAGGATGTGGGAGGAGCTGGACCGGCACCCGTCAGCCAACTTGGGGGTCCCACAGACCCCCCCCACCTGGGCACCCAAGTGCCCCTTCTCAGGGCTCAGTCTGACCTTGGCCACGTCCTGCCTCCCCTTCATTCCCTCTTAGATCTGTAATGGGAGCTCTGTCAGCCCCCCCCCCTTTGGAGATGGCCTGACCCTGGGGGTCTCTTGTATCCCCCACCCCAAGGGCAGCCTTTCTTTGCCCAACTTCAGGAAATGGGTCGAGCTACTGCAGCCTCCCAGGAATCATGTCCCCGCGCCCGCCCAGCGCCAGGTCAGATGTCTTGTGACCACCAGGCTCCGGGAGACCTCAGTGGCCCTTGGCCCTTGGGCATGAAACACTATGCAATACAGGCTTCCTTCCTCCCTTTTTCTACGTGCACACGAGCTTCCACCTCAGCAGGGCCCCCAGCAGCTCTCTGGCTTCTAGTCTATCCTGTCTTGTTGGTTTTTGAAAAACATCGGTTGACTTTGCTTCCCTGTTCTTGAAGAATACTTGAATGTCGGGGGGCCTCATGGGTCCAAGGCTTGGACGCTATCTCTATCTCTGGCCCCCCAAGTCTCCTCCAGTGTGGTCTGGGGTGGTTGGTGGGGATGGCCAGGCCCCCTGGATCTGTGGACCCTCCTTTCCAAAGAGATCCTGAGTGTGGGAGGGCACCTGCCCCCCATCATTTCTCGCCCATCCGTGATTCCACATTTTGCAGCTGGGGTTTCTTTGCCTTTATGTAAAAAGGAAACAAACAGACCCCACCCGCAGCAGGCACCAAGGCCATTTTAATCTAGAAAGCTGAGCTGTGAGCAGCTTTATTTTTTTCCCAAGGTGGGACAGCCGCTCCCTCTTGGCCTGTGGCTTCGGCAGACAGTGCAGCCGGAGGCTGGTCAGAGCGTAACTGTGAATGAGTGAGGACCCTGGGGCGCTGGGAACAGGGGCACATCATGGCAGTGTTTCAATGTTACCATGGTGAAGAAAAAAAAGAGACAAAATTTATACAAGTGGGGGAAAAACATCCAAGCACTTTAACTCCACTGTACCAGGTAAACTGATACAGCTCAAGTTTTCCTTTACACCAACTGTCAATGCCGGAATTTTGTATTCTGTTTTGTAAGGATTTAATAAAAGTCATAAAACCACTCTGTGCCAGCCTCCGGTTCCTGGTGCCACTTGGTAATAAGCTGCCCCAAACTGGTGGCGCAAAACTATCCCATCCTTTCCAGCGAGGCCGAGCTAGGAATTTGGATGGAGCACTATGAAGCAAGGCGCCTCCTGCCCCAGCTTGTCTGGATCTGTGGCCAGACACTGGTCACCCACAGGCTAGGGCTGGACTGGACTGGACTGGGAGCGAGGTGCGTGGGTCTTGGAGACAGCGGCTGCCCTGCAGGCCTGGCCTCAGGAGCCTGCCTTGTCACCTGCCACATCCCCGTGGTGGTCACAGGTTCAAGAGGAGGGCTTGGGGGGTCGTGTCTCTTTTTGATGGAAGGGGAGCAAGGGAGAAGCCCTTCTTGGAGAAGGGCTCAGGGGAGGACGCCGTGTGATGGCTGCCTTGGAACAGTGCAGCGAACCAAACCCAGTATTCAAGCCTCCGCTGCATGCAGCTGGCCCCCTCTTGGTTCCACCCCTCAGCCGTAAGTGCTTGCTGTATACAGACTCTATGCTGGCTCCCTTGGCAGAGCTAACTTGGGGCTAACTTCAAATCTGGGGGCAGGGACTAGATCAGGGGGAACTTCCTGAAGGTAGGGGCTGAGGGGTGGGGGCAGGAGGGGAGCAGCATTGAAGGCTGTCTGGCCAGAATCCGGACTCCTGCCACACTATTTTGTGTCTGTTTCCTCATCTGTCAAGTGGAAATCTGAGGAGTCAGGAGAGGTGACTGACCAGTAAAGCAGGGCAGTGTGTGGGGCTCCACATGGCCTTCAGATGGGGCCAGGGCTGGGGGAAGGGCCTGGGGGCTGAGGAGTTGGTGTGGGGGCACTCGTGCCCACTTGTACATCAAGGGCAGTGGGGTACAAGTGGGAGCTGCTTATTTTCTTAGATGACTTCCTTAAGATAGTTTGCATAAATTTACTCTTCAGCCAACTTTAAATGCCCAGTTCAGTGGTTTTTAGTGCATTCACAAGGTTGTGGAACTATCACCTCTAATTCTAGAACATTCCATCACTCTGAAAAGAAACCCCATCCCTATCAGTTACCCCAAGCCCTCTCCCAGCCCCTGGCACCATGAACCCACTCTCTGGCTGTGCCTGTGCTGGATGTTTCTCGTCAGTGGGCCCGCACCGTGTGGCCTCGTGTGTTTGGCTTCTCTCCCTGAGCATCGTGTGGTCGCGAGAATCAGAGCTGCCCCCCTTTTCATGGCTGAGTGATTCCCCCATGTGGGGGCACATGTTGCGTGCACCTGTTTGTTGCTGATGGACACTTGGGCTGTTCCCACGTTGGGGCTGTTGTGAGTTGTGCTGCTCTAACCAGGCACATGTGGGTTCTGTGTGGATGTACTCATTTTTCCTGGGTGGACAACTCAGAAGAGATCTGAGCTGGGGCAGACCCAATTACATGTCAGTTTTGGAAGGCCTGTTCTTGCCACATAGGGAACAAACGGGGCTAAAAGGACCTGGTGAGTTGTTACCACCCTCACAGTCCCCCAACTGTGCCAGTTGAGGCCTGGAGGCCTTAGGGAAGGAAAGACAGAGCACAGGAGATGCCTGCCAGCATATCGTCACAGTCTGGGGGTCAGGGAGGGTATGAGGGGCTCTTGGGGCGTAGTGAAGGCCTGTCTGGCAAGGTTACCCTAGGACAGCTGGGGGCACTGGTTCATCCTCCTGCCTGGGAACCCAGACTTAGCAGTGGCACAGCCACCTCCCATCCTTTCCTTCGGGAGGAAAGCTGGGCACCCTTAAGCCTGACTCCCGCCCCAAAATTTGTTTTGCCACCTCCTGGATGCCTCCTCTGCAAACCCACCTAGCCCTGGGCCAAGTCATCGCAGCCCCCTGCCTGGCTAGGCGTATGTGGGGAAGAGGTGTGGGCGCCACAACCAAGCATGCCTCCCCTAGGTGGCACGAAGCCCCACCCAGCCTGCCAGGCCAGTCACTGACCGTCCCTGCCCCCGGCCGCCTGCCAAGTCCAGGCAGGGCACAGGCTGTTCTGGGAACCTGCTGTGGATTTTCTGTTTGTGGTTTCCGCTACTGACCCACCCCATCCACGTGGCTTTCCTGGAGCAGCAGCAGGAAAATCCTGGAGCTGCAGGAGCCGAAGCATTTGCCAGGCAGTGACCATGGCCATCGGTCACCCAGGTCCACCTCCATCTTGGTGAGAGACTCTGGCCCAGGGTCACCAGGCCAGTGGGCACCTAGCCTCACTTCCCAGCTGGTGTAGGGTGTCTGCGTAGTGCAAGTTACCCTGAGATTACACCTGTGGTTGGGGAGCTGCCCCTCAACCCCTGAGGAAAGGGATAGAGCCGTGTTCTACTTTGTTTCTCTGTAAGCCTAAAACCGTTCCTTTAAAATTAAATTTTATTAAAAAAAAAAAAAAAAAGACAGGGGCCTCCCCCGTGGCGCAGCGGGTTGAGTGCAGCACTGTGAAGCTGTCCACAGCCTCTGCGGCGCGGGCTTAATCCCCACTGGCTGGAGAGCTACCCACATGGCGTAGCAGACCTCTCCTTTCTGGCCTGCTGCTCCCCTCAGCAGTGTATTTCAGTCAGTTTGCCTGTTCTGTTCCCCACTCTGTCTCTGTGAATCCTCTCACCCCTCACACACATCTGGCCTGTACCCGGATTCTTATATGCATGAATAAGTAAATCTTAAAAAAAAAAAAAAATAGAAGGCCAACATTTGTGTGTTTCCATTGACATGAAGTGGCCAGGACAGGCACATCCACAGAGTGTGGGTTTGTAGTGCCAGGGGCTGGGCAGGGGCATGGAGAGTGAGTGCTGGTGAGGATGGGTTTCTATAGGGGTGATGGAATAGTCTCCATTAGATAGAGATGGTAGTTGCCTAGCACTGTGAATGTACTAAACGGTATTAAATTAATTGTACATTTTAATGGTCGATTTTATCTCAGTTTAGGAAAGGAAAGAGAATGCTAATGGGTATAGGGTTTCTTTGGGGGATGATGGAATATTCTAGAATTACATGAAGTGGTGGCCCAATCCTGGGGATGTGCTAAATGACACTGAACTCTTTGCTTTGAAAGAATGAGTTTCATCTCAATAAAAATGAAACGTGTCATAGACTCCATGTAGGGTCTGGTATACAGGAAATGCTCAATAAATGCATCCAGTGTGATTTATCACCTAAAAGGATGGGAAGGCGGCCAGCGTATTTATCTCCCCACCAGGGTTGGGGACTTGTGCAAGTTTTCACTCCTGCCACGTCACTAATCACCATGCCAAGCCCCCCAGGTGCCATCCCATCTCATTATCCTCTTTCATTGTCCTCCAGAAGAACCCCTGAGGCCACTGCTGGTCTTAGACTCACCCAGAAGGAAAACTGGTTTAAAGTGAAGTATGATGGAATCAAAGCAGACTTGAGAAAGCACCTACCTCAGATGGGGAGGGAGCGAGAGGGCCAGACTCTGGGTGCAAACAGCAGGTGAGGAAAGCGGCCCAGCAGCCCTCGTCTTAACCTCTGGGTTTGGAGGGGCTGCTGGAGCCTGGAGGCTGCAGGTTCAAGTCCACACATGCCCTTGGTTCCTCTGTTCCTGCTCATTTCACTCCTCTACATGGACTTGGGTTTGGGGGTTTGTGGAGATGCTGTGGGGTTTCCAACGCACCATCATCTTCCCTGGAGACTCAGTTTCCCGTGAGGAACACAGGGTCCCGGCTCCGTTTCTCCCTGCCCGATTCCCTTTTGTGAGCTGTGAGCAGCAGAAGGCTCTGCTACGGACAAGGAGGGGCGCTGGCACTGCTCAGCACCATACCCTGGCTCAGGGGCCAGGAGGGCCTCCAGAGTCTAGGGCCTTATGCCCAAAGTCCTTAGGGACAGTGCCCAGCTGAGGGCAACAAATCCCCAGAAGTCAGATTCACAGACAGACAAGTCGCAAGGGATACATGGTTCATTGCCAGCATCTTATCTGCTGGTTAAAAGTGGCACCACCCCCCACCCCCCCACCACCACACACACGGCCCCATGCAGAGTCAGAGAAAGGTTGTCACTCCCAGCCTGAGGGCACTAGTCCAGGGACTCCACCCTGTCCAGCCTCTGCTCCTTCGTGGCCCTCACAGTGCTCACCTCCCCGGCTAGGCAGGGCCCACCCCTGCCCTGAGTGGCAGGCACACAATGGCAGAAAATGGGCACACAACCTCTCCAAATTGGAGCTAGGAACAAGGAGAGGGGCACCAACATTTTATGCTTGGAATTTTGCTACAACTTTAGATTCACAAGCAGTTGCAAGAAATAACATTTTGCCCAGTTTTAGTGGTAACAGTTAGCAAAACCCCTCTACAATGTCCTAAGCAGAATCTTTTTTTTTAAAGATTTATTTGTGCATACAAGAGCTGGGGTACAGGCCAGAAGTGTGGGAGGGTCAGAGGATTCACCAGGGACAGAGTGGGGCACAGAACAGGCAGATGGACAGAAAACACTGCTGAGGGGAGGAGACAGGAGAGGTCTGCCGCGCCATGTGGGTATCTCTCTGGCCGGCCGGGATAATACCTGCGCTGCAGGGGCTGCGGACAGCTTCACAGCGCTGCGCTCAACCTGCTGTGCCACCGGGGAGGCCCCCTAAGTAGAGTGGCTACAACGCTTCTGAATCCAAAGTCCCATTTCCCTTGTTCCCAGCTGTGTGGTTCTGCCTTCGGTCCTCACTTGGACATAAAGTCTGGTGCCTTCCAATAGAACTTTCTGGAATGATGGCCATGTTCTCCATCTGCACAGTCCAGTATGGCAGCCATCAGCCACATGTGGCTGCTGTGCATGTGAAATGTGGCCAGTAGGCGTGAGGAATGCCTGCTTGGTTTCATTTTAATTCACTTAAATTGAAAACTATATATATATATGCCTGGGACTCTGCATGGTTGTGCATTTTGACTAGTCCTTGTGGATTCCCAGCTGTCACACCCTCAATCTGTTCATCCTGAGCCCTGGGCACACAGTTGGTGCTCAATAAACATGCGTGGTGAGTGAGTGAAGCCCCTGGAGGGATGGTGCCTTCTGACCTTCTAGCCCTGGCTCAGCCCCACTGTCTGACACTGGACGTGTCTGCCCAGGTCAATAAGCTCATCTCGAAATGGGGGAGATGTGTCAGCACTGGGAGAGGGCTCCCCTGTCATCTGCACCTTCACCCCTCATAGGTGAGGTTCCTGGGCTCCCAAGCCCATGATGGCCACCTATGGCAATGCTCTCTGCAGCTGTGGGTGGCACCTGATGGAGGTGTCTCTGGGACCCCACCCAAAATGAGGGGTGGAGGCAGGGGACAAAGGGACTCAGTGGGAATGGAGAGCCCTAATCCCCTGCCTTTGGGACCTGGGCGGGGAATATTCTGAGAACTCCAAGCAGGGAGGAGGAGGCAGTTTTCAGGTAGGGAAACAGGCACACTACAGCGTCACTTGCCATGTGCGAGGATCAAGGCGTCTGCAGGTGAAGCAGGCTCGTCTAGCTAACGCAGAATTTCTCGTTTATGATGTGCATGCAGGGGGTGGTGTTCGTGGTTTTCCTGAAGAGGTGGGCTCCCCGCTCAGGG